GCAAAGGCAGTGGCCCGACAGAAGCTATAAATATTTCAGAAGCTCGTTTTTAGCACAGAGACAGAGAAGACAACAGGAAGATCCTCGCTTGATGTCTCATTGTTTCCTGGGTAAAATAAGACTTTTGTGCGCTACAAAATGTATTTACCTACTCGCTATATTTTCATTCACCTTTAGATTGCTGTAATTTTTAAGGTAAAGTGCAATTTTGGTCTCTGAGCTTTTTTAATTACTGACATTTACTACTTGATTATTATGTGGTTTTTTACTACTCTGGACATGATTGATTGTTTGTCTTCAAAGAAAAAGGGCAAAGGCACAAAACTGAACTCAGCTGAACAAATATCATATGCTCAACTTAAATCAGCATGCTAGCTGCTAGCAATAAAACACTCGGAGCTACATTTTTTTTCAATGTAGACTTTGATAGATGAGGACCCCTGATGCCGAGAGGCTGAGCAGTCTTTCTATGAACAGTTTTGTTTGTTTTTTTCAGTTTTTCCCAGCTGCTTATGCACTCCCAGCTACACTTTGATACAGCATACATCACTTAAATGCATGTGTTTTACTACATGACTGATAAGGCCTGCATGTTTTCATCACACCGTCTCGTTTTCAGACTCTCACAACATCCATCCGTCAGTACTGGTTCACCACCCACTCTGTAGACTCTATTGATTTTTCATTCTAAGTGCAGAGACTTCATCTTGCCGGTCATAGTCGTGCTTTTCAACAGATCTCCTATTTCCTGGGTGTAAATGTGAAATCACGGCATCACAATGAAGAAACCGTTGCTGCCAATGTAATGCGGATGTAATAGAAAGTGAGCAATTTATCTGTAAATGATTGAGGCTTTTCTTATAAGTCAGTGTTATAAATGTAAAACAGAGAAACAAGGCAGTTCTCTGCTGTTTGCATTGCTCTTTAAAGGGCCTTTACAAAGCAGACTTTCACCAAAACAAATGGTGTACATGATGCAGTGTATCCAACAAATGAGAAAAGTAATTGACTTAACTTGTTGGAGTTTATTTTTTATTTTATTTCTCTCCATGCCTTTAGCTCACAGTATCCAAAATATCAATTGTCAGGGATTAAATGTGGTATTGACTTATTTAAATACAGTTTTGCGGTAACAACATGCACAAGTTTACTATTTGGCCTTTTGTCAAGCAGCATTTTCTTAAGGGATGTGTGGTGGGAAACTTCACTTATATGGTGAGATTGCTTGTTTATAATGGATGTTTGGGCCCCACTGTGCATCCTCCAAAGAGGACACTTTGTTTGAATCTGTGGCAAAAGACCTTATGAACTCCCAACTAATCCAGTGCAGGATCACAGGAGGTATATTCAGATCAGTTTTGTTATCATTTTGAGATACAACATTTTTGAGCTGCTTTTTGTCTTTCCATGAGACCCTGAGAATCCTGTGATCCATAGTTCTATGTGCACAAACCCTCCTCTGTGAGACTCTGCATCTTTATCTTGTGTCTGCCCCTGTTATGTGTGTGTGTGTGAGCTTGCTTGGGAATCTGTCCTCTGTGGTAGAAGTGGGTCTTTGTTAAAACCCATGAGAGTTCATTACTGTGATCCATCTCCTTTCCCTGTTGGTGCCAACACTAACATAGTGTGGCGTCGATGCAGCTATTTTTAGTTCTGAGTTGTGTGTGTTTGTGTGTGCGTTTGATGGCAATTTGTCTTCATTTCTACGTTTTATTATTATGTGAATTATCTTTCTCGTATATGAACTCGATGACAAAGAGCCACTGCTCTTTCGTCCACACAAGTAATCAGTTATTGTCCACCAATGTTTTTCATTAGAGATCCAAATTCTCAGTCTCAGATCCAGATCCTAATACCTAATCTGATTGTGAGTTAATGGTCTGTTTTTGTGTCAGCCATTTAAGAGATTCAATCTATAAGATAGACTTCAGTGGTTTATATTGAAATTATCAAAAACATGTTTGTTTTTGGAATGATATGAAACAGCCTCTGAGCATGCCATTTAATTCAAACATTAACGTGTACTTTTATGTAATTTCTGATTATCTTATAACAGTTGAAATATCTGTGTAAAGTTTTTGGTTAAAAAAAAAACACTTTTTAAAGTTTCTACCAAGTCATAGTGCAAAAAAAGATTGGATTCATGTTGAACTCCGGAAAGGACTTCAAGTGACACAAGGACTGATTCAAAATTAGAAGTGACAGAAGCTGTCACTACAATAAGGACGGATATTTAGCATTCTGCCAATGACTTCTGTCAGAACAATGCCATGGTACAGAAGATATTCAAATGCTTCCAAAACAGAGAAGCTGTAATATTCAGGCTGAATGCTGGACTGGACACTGGACACTACCAAAAATATCCAGTTTTAGTCTCTGATGACAGTCAGTCAAAATTATTTAACCTAAATTTATAATAGCTGAACACAAGATATTGATTCATTGTCTGAATTAGTTGATGTAAAAATATCTTCTGTATTACGCAAATAAAATTCTTCTAAACCACAGTCACATTAGATGGTATTAATTTTATGCATTACGCAAATAAAGTGAAACTGTTAAGGCTGTTATTCCATTAATCTCTGAAACAACAACAGCAACAAGCATGATGATTAAGTCATTAGAGTGAGAAAATGTAGAAGAATGTGTGAATTAGAGAAAGAGAAAAGCAGCGGAAGGAAAATCTGATTTATTTGGAGGCAAGTTAGAGGTGGAGCATTAAGGCTGTGAGTGCTGCAAAGGGAGGAGCATTGGTAATTTGATTATTTTTTGTAACTGACAGGATGATTGCAAATAAAGCTGAAATGCAGAGGAAAGAACGAGAGGAGGGCTAGCAGGAGGGATGGAAAATGGAGAAGGAACTGCATAGATGGTAGCTGAGCAAGAAGGAAAATGGAATCTCCTCTGACAGCAGCAGGAACGGAACGCTCTCACTTTTGAGCAGTTTGTGAGGGCTTCCGTCTTCCGCTAAATGCACTCACCGTAGATCACAAACCAGACCCCGGAAAACATTAATTAACAAGCATGCACGGCACATCATAAATATTTCAATTTGGGAGTAGGCAGGCGTGCAGAGTCACTGGGATGAGGGAGCTGTGATCAGATGTCATGAAGGCAGCACGACACAGAGGGAGAAAAACATCAAAAGGGAATGAACTGATTCATCATTGAATCGTTTCAATGATTGAAATGGCCGCTGACCGTAGAAATGGTGCCAACACAAACATTTTCAGTAGAGCACTTCCAACGCTGCAGTACAAGGTTAAGAAGCATTTTGCGACTGTGCATGAAAGCGACTATCTAATGTCAACTGCATTGTTGCACAGTGTCTTTTATTAGTGTTCTAAATATGGAGCGCTTCATGACAGACTCAGAGTTGTCCGTCACTCTCATACACAGTTCCACCACTAGATAGTTAAGTGGGATGTCTCTTATCACTGAGCCGACTGATTGAAGTTATGTCTCCGTACTTCTCTTTAGCACCGTATTTTCTCCTGTAGCACCAATGTTCAGAGAGCAGAAACCAGATTCTGATCAGATCGGATATTGGAGGGTGATAAAGCGCTTCAGCTCATTTTGTCAAATGGTGGAAAACCACGTGGAAAAGCGATGTTTTGTCTAAGGTCAGCTCAACCCTCTTCAGTCTCAAAGGAATGTTTTTGTTATACCTGTTTTTCCTGTCCAATAATTATCAAAGTTTACTTAACCACCCTCCACCTGGACTGAGGTCCTGGATTTGGTTTCTCTATGATTTTTAACACTGTAAGATTTACACGCTCTTCTGTTCCCTGATATGCATCTGCACATAGTCTATATTTGTTCAGTATCACTTTAGAACAGGATTTAGGCATTTTACTAACAGCATATTCATATTTAAATAAGACAAATTAATAGCAATTATGTGACAAACGTTATTGTTTTAAAAGGCTGAGACGCATGACATATTTTAGTCCAAAAGGTGGGTCTATTTTCTCTTAGATTTTTTTCACTTATTGTAGTTTAGTGATAAGACTAACCAATGATAACCCATATACTTCATAAAGAATAGTTTAGGTTTAACACTCACCTTTGTTTATTTAACCTATCTAAACCTAAATGTGAGTGCAGAAACTTTTCTTTTACCCATTTCCCATCTATACTTAAACAAACTGGAATACAGAAGCGGTGTTTTAATCTGAGCAGGTTGTTGAAACATGAAAACCTAAACCTTCCCAATGCCTCAGCACTCATGAATCTTGAATCTTAAATAAATGATATGCGAGGAAGTGTCTGTCATTTCAAAAGGGCAGGCATATCTTTCAGCAATTCACTATAATTGAACCACTTGGGAGTAACGGCTCACATGGTTTCATCATTTTGCTGGTGACGGGGGTGGAGAGGGTCCAGGGTATACCACGGAATGCGTGATCTCCTCTCCGGGCCACTGTAAACATCTCATTGTTCAGGTCAGTTGCATTATCGGCCAATGAATGGATTCTAAAGTGGGCGTACAAACACTGACGCATGCCAAGACACAAACCACATGAGCTTTCCTGCCTGAGATCAGACAGACAGCGGAGCTCGTGGCAGAGCGTTCCGTGAATTCCTGCCAAAATCCTGGTGTGGGCAAACTGGGCCGGTATGCCTCTTATGAAGGGTAATTGATGCAACAAACGAAAATATGTATCTTTCCTGCATATTGCCATGTATCTTGTATTGAAGTTTTTATGCTGTAACATAGAACATGTTTACCCAACTGAACAATTTAATGTTACAGGTTGCCATGAACAAATTTCAAAAAACGTTGTTGACATAGGTTTTTGCATATGCCTCAGCCGTCATTCTAATAGAAATTAAATGGTCTTTGTGTTCCTTTCTGTTTTGTAACCTTGGAGGTGGGCAGAGACCTAATTTGTTTTGCCTTAATCTGTTACTCTTTACCACATATGGGTTTGAATTGCACAGAGTTATCAGTTTGTTGATCCATGCACCAACAATTTGTCTCTCTTCTTTGGCTGCAGGCCGACGCCGCCACCAGCTTTCTGCGTGCAGCTCGATCCGGGAACCTGGACAAGGCCCTGGATCACATAAAGAATGGAATTGACATCAACATTTCTAACCAAGTAAGATTCCGGTCAGGGGTCAGTGATGCAAAATGCCTAAGATTAAATCCCAAAAAGTTGGTCTTGATAAGTGCAAAGTGCAATATGTTTAGTAACTATACCTTTGTCCAAACCAGTGATTGTGATTTAGATCATGATGAAAGAAGTGTGTAAGATCTTAAGATCATGCTGTTAATGACGCCGAAAGAGGAAACAGAACTCTTTCTTTGACTGCTTAGGGTAAAAACTGCTATTTGATAGAAAGTAGTTAGAGAAAGATGTGTAATGATGGTTGTATATGGATAAGACTTGAACATCGGTAATAATTGTGCCACTTAAGTTAACCATCTGTTTCCAGCTTGTATGAATATCATGAGTGCTTCACTTGAGTTGATTAAGATTTAATTGACTGAATGATTCAAACTCCCAAAGGACGAGTTTAGTAAGAAATAACAGAAATGCGTGCGTTTACCTCTCTCACATCATCCTGGCCTGGCTTTTTTTAGAAGACAGTGGCTAAGAGTTATTTCATTGATTTAAGGAAACTGTGAGATTTCCTTCCTTAAAGTCTTTCTACATAATTTACGGTGGGATGATGTATTGTTGAATCAGCAAAGTCTGTGAAATGAAACACTCAAAAGAAGATTAAACATTTATCACTGCTAAAACTCCTTATTCTCTGTCTTTGTGTTAAGTAGTGAGCGTGAATAATTCAGTGTGTTAGATATTAGTTATCTAAATCTCCAACCTTACTGTCTGTTTCTTTTACACCGTGTTGCATCAAGATCGGGATTGAAAATTTAAAAGAAATGTAAAAATCCGAGCAAACCTGTTTATCCTGAAAAAGAGGTCTAAATATCTGCGGGGCTGAACGCACGCTCATCGGTTTTCTCTGATGCTCAGGGTGGTTGCAGAGTGGCATAGCTCTCACCTCCAAAGCCGAGACACAAAAGAATAGATGTTGGCAACTAGCTCACACTCGTGTGACGTCACATCCCCGCTGCCTGTCAGGAGCCGTCGCTCTCACAGATCAATGCAGCGGGTAGCCGTCAGCATAGCCTCCGCTTCCAGCCAGCCGTGTGAGCGCCAGGAAGCAGAGTATTCCCGCGTCAGCATCCAAACTGTCAAACCATGAAAGAAAGTGAAAGCAAACGAGATAAGTCAGCCTGCGTGACTTCTCGCCTTGTCACCAGGACCTCATCGTTTGTCATTTCTGGTCAACAACTGGGCCCCATGACGTTAACCAGCTATAATCTTACAGTTGATAACATTAATAGTTAGGTCTCACACTTACAGTTCCTATCAGTTCCTCTCAGTTGTAGTCTGTGCTGATGGATCTTTACTCTCATCCCAGACAAGAGGAGACGTGTTATGTTATTTTGGATGTATGGGATTCTGCACCATTAACTTGTCCTTGACGGAGCTAAAAAACCCGTGGGCTATTGTTAGCGCCCTCTTTGCTCCTGCCTTTACCTGCGTTTATTCCGGCGTGCACGTTAACCGCCGTGCACTGTTGCACAGTCACACTTGTGACTGTGTCCGCATCAGGCGCATATGATCTGCTTTGCAAACAGGACTATTTTTTGCCTGGTCAAAGCCTGGTGAACGCTAGAGCTTCCTCTTGGTCTAAAAAAAAAAAAAAAGAAAAGTACAACTTTGCCTTGCTGTGAATCTGCTCCATTCACACGTTTGCAGCTTTAAAGGACTGTGGAAGTGATACACAGTGTGTTTCCCCTGACTGTGTTCATGTTAGCTGGGAGAGTGCTCCCCACTTGAAGTGAGTGACACTGCAGTATGATGAAACCGAGTGGATCACTGAGACGCCTTGTGGCCATAAGAGTTACAACAGACACGCTACACACAGCTACAACATTAATATTTGACCATTTAGACAGATTGTCACGAACATACGGAATGTGGTTCTCGTGCATATTCATCAATCCTGAGAGATTCATCAGAAATGAGTTTTCACACAGTCCATATATTCTTTGTTGTGGCATGATAGGGCTCTGAGTACCTGGTCATTCTCACAGGAGCATGACTCCTAAAAACATTTTTTCTCTGAATTGTGGCTTTTAAAAAATGGCACGAGCGGCTTTTCATGTCGAGAGCTGTGAGAAAGACTAGAGCAAAAGATTGAATAGTTTATTTCTGTATTCATTTATTTATGAGGAAGTGGCGGCCTTTTAGGGTTGTGTATCTCTAATGTCGCTGTTTTTTTCCCCAGAATGGCCTCAATGGGTTACACCTGGCCTCCAAAGAGGGCCACGTCAAAATGGTCTTGGAGCTGCTACACTCGGGCATTGAGCTTGAAGCAACGACCAAGGTAAAGTACTTTCACTGTTTGTTCGCCACTTTAAAAAAAGTCCTCTCACCGTTGTGCTAATTGACTGCCAGATCAAGGCAAAGGTAAATTCAACTAAAATTCTATGGCCACAAAAGCCTCTGTAGTTTAGTAAGACCAACGATGAGCCAGCAAAATTGCTCGGAGAAAAAGTGTTTCATCATATGAGCCTAAAACTTCCTGAAGTGGATGCTTTTTATATTCCTATTTGCATGTACAGTGATTCCTTTAAGTAGGATTTCACCTGGCCTGTGTCGGTTTTTTTCTTTTTTTGGGGCAAAAAATGTTCTCTAGCATATATTGAAAAAAGGTTTTGTCATTCTGATTCCTTATCCTGTGTTTATAGTGCGTGTATATAAAAAACTAGATGCTGTGTGCCTTATAAATGAAATATAAATGAGTTTCTTTCTTACACGGATGTATTTCTGTGCTGAGCTCTAAGTGCAGAGATCTAGGCCATTAGGCTGCCATAATTGTCCTCTCATTCACTTTAATTTCCTTCTCTCACTTTCCGTGTGGGTGTTTTTTTTGTGTGTGACCTCTAGAAAGGGAACACTGCTCTCCATATCGCTGCGTTGGCAGGCCAGGAGAAAGTGGTGGCTGAGCTTGTCAACTACGGTGCCAATGTTAATGCCCAGTCACATGTGAGTCCCCTCGAGACCCGATAAGCAAATGTGCCCCGTCTGTGCCTGTGTATTCACGCGAAGTGTATTGTGTTTAGTTGTGGCACACTTGCTGAAAAGATTTGTTTGTAGAAAATACAAAGAGCCCGTGTATTTGTTTGGAATCCTCCCGCAAAATGGTCCCTTCAGCTGTGTGTGTTTGCCTTCTCACACTTTATCCTCTGATATATACTTAAGCCCTTGCGAGCATCTAATTTTTTTCGTGCCATATATGTGACCGTGTATCATCTCTTTATGCCCCTCTAGAAAGGGTTCAGTCCACTCTATATGGCAGCACAAGAGAACCATCTAGAGGTGGTGAAATTCCTGCTCGAAAATGGAGCCAATCAAAGTCTCCCAACCGAGGTAATTGTCTTTTCAAAGCTTTGGAGGTCCAATCAGTGTCTTTGATCATTTGTTTCCCTCGACAACCGCACTGATGAGTGGCTTTGTAACATCAGGGATTATGCATTGAAAATACTGTCAGAAACATAGTCATTGTTGTTCTGTAAAATAAAATGAACTCAGGTGCCGATTAGTGTAGTGAAGAGAAGCACTGATGGACAAAGTGGATGCTGGAGAGGACCTACGTATCAATGCGAATCAGAGGGATGGAAAAGGGCCCTGTGGAGAATTTTAATCATCTCATTAAAGTGTTTTGTGTTTTACTGAGTCACCCAATTGTGTTGTCTTAATTTCTTGAAACGAGATAAGTGCCTCCAGCTGCCAAAGCCTTTATAATTTTTGAGCCACATTAAGAGATCGTTTAGTAAACTACATAGCAGCCATTTTGAGGTGTCCGTCTTCCTTTGTGGACTTTTTTTGTGAAACACATCCCTGACATTTTCCCCAAAAGTGATAGAGAAGGATAGGATGTGTTTTTTCCTCCTAAAATAAGTGTTTTTCTGCAAATGAAAAGAAAGAATGAAAGAATGATCAGACAAGAGGATATTACAACTCCTATGGCATACACTCAAAGAATATATTAACACATGGTCACCATGTGCTCCAGTCCCTTTACCCTCCCTTTTCATATTAGTTTATTATTAAAGTTCAAAGCCTCATCATGCCAAAGCTGTAAACCTTTTTTTTTTGTAAATATCAATGTTTTCTTACTTTTAAAGTATTAAAAAATACCTTTTCTGCCATCTATATGATCAGTTTAATCATTTGCTGTGTCTTTTTCCTGTAACATGGTAAAGATAAAGTGCATTAGAGTCATTATGACGAGGTTGACCTTCCTCTCCATTTTCTCCACCCTCACCTCTCCTGTTTCCTGTTTCCCAGGACGGTTTCACACCCCTTGCAGTGGCCCTCCAGCAGGGCCATGAAAATGTCGTGGCGCTGCTCATTAACTATGGGACCAAAGGCAAGGTCCGCCTCCCCGCGCTGCACATCGCTGCGCGGAACGACGACACGCGCACCGCCGCCGTCCTCCTGCAGAACGACCCCAACCCAGACGTACTCAGCAAGGTAGGTCCGCTTTCACCGGGTCACGACAGTCCAGGTAAAAACATCCTGTATTAATTATTCACGCATGTCCGTCCGCTTTTTCTGCTCTCGGCAGACTGGTTTCACGCCACTGCACATTGCTGCTCACTATGAAAACATGAGTGTTGCCCAGCAGCTGCTGAACAGGGGAGCCAATGTAAACTTCACCCCTAAGGTCAGTTTGTGTGAGCTTTGTGCATCTTTTCAGTACTTTTATTTTAAAAAATGCTTTACATACATGAAAAATCTTTCATTAACTTTTTTTCATGCTGAAGGATGATTGTCATAGTGATTGATTTATTTCCCCTGCTCCCCCAGAATGGTATTACACCCCTACATATAGCCTCCAGGAGGGGCAATACGATGATGGTCAGGCTACTGCTGGACAGAGGAGCACAGATTGATGCCAAAACTAAGGTATTATGTTGTATTTTTACACTGTGTCCATGAGCAAACCTTTAGAAGGTTACAATAAATCCCAGCAAGTTACAAAACTGATATGTATCCCTGTTGCTCATTACAGTCTAACATGATTACCTTTTTCCCACTGCCCCTCTCCATCTTAATTCACATGTTTTAGGATGAGCTGACTCCTCTCCACTGTGCAGCCAGAAATGGTCATGTTCGCATTATTGAGCTCCTGCTGGAACATGGTGCTCCCATCCAGGCCAAAACCAAGGTAGAAGGATTTCTGGAACTTGTGACAGCACTGTAGCGGCTCGCATTTGAGCAAATTAGCCACAGTATGAATATTCCCGACAGCGGAGATTCTCGTTGTAAGATCATCTGCAAGTCATTTTCAGTGCGCTACATCCTCTCTGGACTTATTGACCCTGTGCCTCAAATAGAAATATACTTGTCTTTTTTTGTCCTTTTTTGAAAACACAGATATTAATCTCCATTTGTCCTTCACTTCTCTTACTAAGTCCATTCCTTTTCTCCTCTTTCCAATTTCCCTTCTCTGTGGTTTGATCCTTTTCCAACAGAACGGCCTGTCTCCCATCCACATGGCAGCTCAGGGGGATCACATGGACTGTGTTCGACAGCTACTGCAATACAACGCCGAGATTGATGATATCACGCTGGACCATCTAACCCCGCTTCATGTAGCAGCACACTGCGGTCACCATCGTATGGCCAAAGTTTTACTGGATAAGGGAGCTAAAGCCAACGCTCGTGCTTTGGTGACTAATTGTTTTAATCTGGAGTTTGCAAAGCGAGTAGACGTCTGTATTATTTGGCTTTTGCTATTGCTTCTTGTGAGTTTAAACAGACGTTTCAATGACTTTATATCATTTCCATTTAATAAATTCAGGTTATTTTATAGCTGCATGTTTTTTTCCTTGTTTTTGCCGGACACAACACACACCAAAACTTTTGGCATACTGTGTAACTGAAAAGTTGGAGTCTTTTACAAGAGCTTGAACTTTATTTCTGTGTCTTCTCCAGAATGGCTTCACACCTCTTCACATTGCCTGCAAGAAGAACCACATGCGGTCAATGGACCTGCTGCTAAAGCACTCCGCTTCCTTAGAAGCTGTAACAGAGGTGAGCTGATATGACCAAAGAGGATGCATTCGTATAGGAACGAATGTCCCACATAAAGATGACTGTTGGAGATCAAGCATCTGAAGAAGAAATGGGGCTGACGTAGCCTTGATGACCTTTCCTCTGTGTTTGTTCCTACAGTCTGGTCTCACTCCTCTTCATGTAGCATCGTTCATGGGCCATTTGAACATAGTGAAAAACCTTCTCCAAAGAGGGGCTTCACCCAATGCTTCCAATGTGGTGAGAACTGTTTTCCTCCATCACAACAAAACATGTACATGTCACTTTAAAAAAGAAAAATTCTGTTAACCACTTCCCAATATTAGAAAAAAAAAGTGAGGGCTACATTTAAGATGCCAGTTATTAGGGGATTATGTAAATTATTCAACTTATTTTAACCGATTTGTCAAAGAAAATTCCCGTCCTGAACATTAAACATGACTAACCACGTTTGTCTGTGTGGACTGAAGTCTAAATTTAACATTTCAGTTCTTCCGTGAAAAATTCAGTTATATGCATAAGGCTGAAGTAGCTGGCCCTTGTTTTGTTCTATCTGTTGACATCAGAAAGTGGAGACTCCCCTCCATATGGCCTCCAGAGCAGGACACTGTGAAGTTGCTCAGTTCCTTCTTCAGAACGCAGCCCAGGTGGATGCCAAGGCTAAGGTATGAACTCTGAAGTTCACACACGAAAGACAAATAAATGTGACCAAAGTGCTGGATAATTACCCGGAATTCATATAGAACAGAGCATTTTGTTACAGTCATAAGATAGAAATAATAAGAAATCAAAGAAAATAGAATCCAGTAATGAATTGATTGTAATATGTTATAACAATGAGAACCTAACCCTAACCCTTTAACAGATTTTGGACATCCAGTGCTGTCTAGCATCTACATTTCAAAATATCAAATTATTTTTAGTCCAGAGCTACAAAGATATCTGACAGTAGAACAAATATATGGAAACATGCACGGATCAAATTTTATAAACCACAAGAAGGTACAATTCCTGATCCAGATTAAGAAAACTGAGCTCCTTCAAGAAAACACATAGAAAGGCTAGTCAAGGTTGCTCTGGGTTTCTGCAGTCTAAAGTGGAAATAAATGAGAATATCATCATCAAAAGGCCATGGTTGGAAAGAAATATTATGTTCTCTAGAAATAGGAAATGCGGCATATATGAAAAGAATATGATCAGACCCCAAATGAACCCTTGAGGCATACCACAAGTGATATCTCATGCCCTTCCTTAAATGTTTCTCCTTACTTATGTTCCTACCAGGATGACCAGACACCACTACACTGTGCGGCTCGAATGGGCCACAAGGAGCTGGTGAAGCTGCTCCTGGAGCACAAGGCTAGCCCTGACTCAGCCACCACTGCAGGTCACACGCCCTTACACATTGCTGCACGCGAGGGGCATGCCCACACCATTCGAATCCTTTTGGACGCTGGAGCACAGCAGGTCAAGATGACAAAGGTAAACTGTGTCATCCAACCTATCCGGTTCTTTTTGTGCTTTGTTTTTCTGTCCGTTTTTTGTCCTTTGACTTTCTGAATCTTTTCGTCTTCCTGTATCTAAACATACTTGTCATGACCTTTCTTTTTTTTTTTTTTCTGTGTTTAAGCAGAAAGGTTTTACTCCCCTCCATGTGGCCTCTAAATATGGAAAGGTGGATGTGGCAGAGCTCCTTCTGGAGAGAGGAGCCAACCCTAATGCAGCAGGGAAGGTGAGTCACCGTGTGTGTGTCTGCAGTCAGGAAACAACACCAAGAAGGGGTTTTGCAAAAAAATAAAAAATAGGCTGCATTTACATATTTCTGTCCTATCAACTGGTATCTAGATTGCCATGGTGCAGTATGTGTCTCATATATAAATGTTTCTGCGTGGTTCTGTGTGTTACATGGGTTTGTGTGTGTTCACACGTGTATGTGTGTATGGTTAACAGAACGGTCTGACACCCCTTCATGTGGCCGTCCATCACAACAACCTGGATGTTGTTAAACTCCTGGTCAGCAAGGGAGGATCTGCACACAGCACTGCCCGAGTAAGATGCTCACACATGTGTGTGTGTGTGCGCTCGTAGCCACGCAAGGCGTGCCCAGCGGCAAATCCCATCTAAACTTCTCTGTAGCGGATAGAGCGCTCTTAACATCCTCACTCGTAGCCGCTCATAGACTTTAAGAGGAGCCGAGCCCGTGCTGGTTTGCGTCTTTACGGCCTCGTTTCACTCCACAGAACGGTTACACCGCCCTGCACATAGCGGCCAAGCAGAACCAGATGGAGGTGGCCAGTTGTCTCCTGCAGAATGGAGCGTCGCCCAACTCCGAATCCCTGCAGGGCATCACGCCCCTACACCTGGCCTCACAGGAGGGAAGGCCCGACATGGCCGCCCTACTCATCTCCAAACAGGCCAATGTGAATCTGGGAAACAAGGTAGGCTGGAAAGGCTTCTGGTGTCTCGTTCTCTGAGAGAGCGACAAATCACTGGTTTAGCTACTTACGCTACATATGGAGCCGTTAAGATGGTTATTAGATTATTAGGCTGCACATCTACACAGAGGAAAATAGCACCCTTGGAAAGACAGTCATTCGAAAAGGCATTTAATTTCTCGTGATCTTCTTTCCATCTTTCAGAACGGGCTGACACCTCTGCATCTTGTAGCTCAGGAGGGGCACGTGGGCATTGCTGACATGCTGGTTAAACAGGGTGCCTCTGTTTATGCTGCTTCAAGGGTAAGCCACCCCCGCAACCCCCCCCCCCCCCCACCCCCCCCCCCACCCACCCACCCCCAGCGCCAGCATATAAAATTATGGAAGCAATTAAATTTGATCAATTCAATCATTAGCTGGCTTCCACTTGCCAATAGAAACAGAGGTTCTTTGGCTATGCTACATTCCCAAAACTAGCTGTTTGCATTTTGAAAATATGTGTTGCATAAATTAATAGGTCTTAGTTCAATAACTGGCTTGTTTTATGTTTGGTGCATTGCCCATCGTGTTGTTTGCATGCATTTACACGTGATTGCGCAAGATTCCAACCACCAGTTTGGAGGCTTTTAAAGTCTCTTTCATCTCGTCTCAGATGGGCTACACACCCCTTCACGTGGCCTGTCACTATGGCAACATCAAGATGGTGAAGTTCCTCCTGCAGCAGCAGGCTCACGTGAACGCCAAGACGAGGGTAAGACTCCCAACGATTTTTTTATTCTCTCTGCCGAAGACAAATCTGCTCCTGCTTCTTTGTCTCTTCGTTTGCATAATAAGAGTCCCCTTTTTTTTATACCTTTCAGATGGGCTACACCCCCCTGCACCAGGCAGCACAGCAGGGCCACACAGACATCGTCACCCTGTTGCTGAAACATGGAGCACAACCAAACGAAATCACTTCGGTGAGACATTCGCGTTCTTTATCCTCAGTTGTGTGTTCAGGGCAGCATGGATGAGCAGATTGTGAAATGGAACTCAAAAGCCTGACACCACCTCGTTGCTTTTCGGTGCAATTAGGCGCTGGCCAAACCGACGACTGTGAATTTACATTCAAATTTAATCCCGGTTTAAATTTGTATATAGCTTTGCCAGCTATCTGCACCTTCATTACACTAGCTTTAATCACTCATGGGCTTTTCATTACATTTATACATAAGTATGTATAAATCATCATATACATAAATATGTTTACATCCAGCTAGAACGAGGGGCTCTATTATGATGCCGCTCACATATTTGCATGTTGGGGAAAATCAGGTTAGGAAAAGAAGTTGTTCAAAGTTTCAATCTGTTTTGGCATTTTCTCTCACATAAAACTAACTTTACTTCCATTATTATGGGAAAATTTGGGGAAAAAAATAATACTTTAATTAATTGTTCTTTTCCTGCAAAGGGAAAAGTAGAAACAGTAAGAAATCCTTGAAAGAAAAAATGCTTTTTCCCAAATTCGACATGTGTTTGAGATTTTGAGTTCTTAGTTGTGGGTGACTGAGGCTTGTATGTTTCAAGTTTCCTGTAAAGGTTTGTTTTGGCAAATGTTAGCAGCGGGACCTCACGTCTGCAGTTCTGCAGACAGAATGAAATGTGCTCTCCTTTTTATCTATCGGAATATTTTTAGTAACACCTCTCACATGTCTGTGCGTAGAATGGGACATCTCCCCTGGGTATTGCTAAGCGCCTGGGTTACATCTCTGTCATAGATGTGCTGAAGCTGGTTACCGAGGAGTCTGTTTCCACGGTGAGCAACACTTCACGCATGGTCCACGTGTACATGACGGAGAGGCTCTGACACACGATAACATTGATGATCTTTCAGATCAGTCACGCTCTGCTCCCTCACCCGCTTGCAAACTAACTCGGCCATTTCCTTCTTTTCATTTCTCATTCCACCTGTCTCTGCTCTGCCTCAACTATCTACTTTCAACCTGGTTCCCAACAGATTACCACGGAGAAACATCGGATGAGCTTTCCAGAGACGGTAGATGAGATTTTGGATGTTTCCGAAGATGAAGGTAGGCTACAGGACTTTATTGTGTTAAAGCAATTAACTCTATAGCGTTGATTTTTTTGTTTTTCAGCCTATTTGCTATTTTGCTAGAGGAAGACTGCATGGGAAGTATGCTGACGTACTGAAGCACCGCCATGTATTTAACCCTTTAAAGCCTAAACCAAGGAAAAAGTAGAGATTTCTTTTTGTTAAACTCTTTATTTGGCCTCTTAAAATATGAACAAAAATGAATAAATAATCATCATTCATTACCATGCAATAAGTCAAAACTTAAGCAATAAGTCAACTTCTGCCCACTGTTATCAGTTATATTTGATTGTGTACAACAGGGTTTTGAGCAACGTTTTTAACACTTAAATGATGCAAAACATTTCAGAAACCGTATGTATCAAATGTGATGCATATGGCGTTATAGGGTTAAATACTCTCATGTAAAACTGTTTATAACGCCTTTTTCCATCTGTTTTGTAGGGGTTGCCCAGCTAACATTAGGTAGGATTGTGTCTGTACTTCTGCCTTGTCCGGTCCAGTGACCCGTGAACTTCAGCCATTGCAGTCGCACTCTCATTTTCTCTGTGTGTCACTAAATGTTTTTCTAATCAGTTCTATTCTCGACTCAGCGCAGTTTGCCGTTCTCTTGCTTTATCTCCTGTATCATAACTCGGTTCTCTCCTTTCTGTCTCGTTCAGAGATTGATTTTTTAAAAAGAAGTGTGTTTTTCATCAGCATGTGTTCAATTCGCATTTTCCTTTTATCAGCTATGTGTCTGTGGGCTTCTTGTTGACATAATTCCAATTTTTCGGAGTCCCCTCCAGTTTACCATTGCTCTTCCTCCTACCGTCTACATCCTAATTGAGCCATTAGCTGATTAAACTCATGCTGAGGTGCAGCTGCGGCACTCGTCCTGCTAAAAGAGCACACAGTATATGTCTATGCAGCTGTCTCCCGGCTTTTAAACAATTCAAAAACAAATCGCCTTTCTTTACTGCAATTTTTCTGACGCGTCTTGACATGCTGGCCTCGTTTTGTCCCGTGGATTTGTTTCATTCAGTCGCTTTAATGTGATTTTTGGTTCCTCAACAGCTTTAACTGGTGGATGTTCAATCGTCTGTAAACATCTCCGTTCTGTCAGTTATGTGTTAATGTTGTTGTTATGGCACTTTCTTTTTTTTGGTTTCATTCCTATTTAATAATTGAGGTATTTTCTCCCACACAGAAACAACCATCACCACATGTGATTTCATCTTTAATGGGCATGCTCACTAAAAAAGCTGTCAGCAGGTGCCTTGCAGTTTGCCGTCCATGCAGTGTCCTGAACCGTGTTGATTCCCACTGTCTTACCAATCCTCTTCTTTCACTCCTTTGGTTTCCATGTGCTCTGGTCGTTTGTTGGTCTGACTCCATCGCTTGGACTAAAATGTTTGCAGTTGCTTTGTGGCCATTTTTTTCTGTGGTTTCATGAAGGTGAAGGGATGGGAAGGATGGCGTTGTAAAAGACTACAGCTCACATTTTTTATTCAAATCAAAACTACTTTAATATGAAAACTCAGTCCTGGAGATACTGTTACAGATAATAAATACTGAAATCATTGGAAATGCACTCAGAAAAAAAAATAGTTCCACTGGCACATACGTCTGCCTTGATTTAGTCAAGATAACATTAACGTTGAGATCATTTTCTGTACACTCCCTTGGTCTCATCCTTTTTCTCTTGATTTATTATGTTCTCCTTGCAAAGAGTTTTTCCTCCATACTATTTTTTTTCATTTAGTTTATGTTCCTTTACCCCTCTTTTTACATTTTTGGTTTTGTCCACAGGAGATGAGTTGCTCGGGATGGACGGAGCACGCTATTTGAAACTCGACGACTTCAAAGACCAAGACGATGACTTTCTGTCCCCAAAGAAGACCCTCAGGGAATTTGAGGGTGGTGTGGGCACAACGTAAGTAAAGAGATGTTTGACTGAGAGAGATGTCTGGCTGTTAGGGCAGACTAAACGCTTTCATACTGGCTTGCATTTGTCGTTAAATACACGCTTTAAGAACTGCAGGCATAAGTTATATATATATTTTTTTCTGTTTTTTACATATTGTTAAGGAAACAAAGATTTCAGATCAAGTTTAAATTTGTATGCTTTTTTTATGGGGTTAGAGTTTATAGGGTTAAGAATATACAGTTTAAGAACAGTGAAATTAAGCTGTTAAAATTCGAAGTGCAGCGTGTTGAAATAAAATATTTTATTTGAATTTCTGCATCAGAATATTTGATTATTTTTTATGTCAATCCACAGGCCCTACTCTCCTGCTATTCCCCGGATCCCCTGTGTCTCACCAGAGACAGTTCAGCTGGACCAGGTACATTTCCTGTGGTTATTTCTCTTATTTTGGTTCAGTCTTCACTAATATTAAGGATTCTTCCTGCTGAGATGATCATACAGCTTGTTTTTGACAGCTTAAATAAGAGATCTCTTACATACTACCTGTAGAAGAGGCAGAAGAAAAATACAGCCCATATTTGAGTTTCTACACCTCAGCAAACGCTATTCACAAGTATTTTCTTAAACAGATTTCAGTCTTCTCACAAATAGGAAAGAAGGCTGGTTGGATGTAGCCAAGCCTCAGACCAAGAGACAACTGGTTCAATAAAATTAAATTTTACTAGACATTTTTTGCTCACTTCATGGTTACCTATTAAAGGTTAGAAAACATTTAGGATTCTGGATGACAGATTTGTATGCCCATTTGAACTATCTTTAAATGCATTTAGATTTTAAATGGCCTTTTTTTCCCCTGTCCCTGACCTCAGCACACCCCCATCCCTTTGCCAAAAGAGTATGACGAAGACTCACTCATTCCGAGCAGTCCAGCTACGGAGACTTCAGATAATGTCAGCCCTGTGGCCAGCCCCATCCACACAGGGTGAGGAAATCAAACCATTTTTTCTTTGTTTTCAACATTTCATACTGACTAGAAATTGTGAATTGTTGCAGCCTTTACAAAAAGAAGTACTTTTTTAGAATTAAAGAAAGAAAAACTAGAATTTCTGGTATTACTGATTATTACTATCTTTAAAATTTAGTAAGTATGAAAAAAATGCATACAGGACTTTTTTTTTCTTCTTCTTGCAACCGCATTAACTGGACATGTGAGACTGACTTTGAAAAGGTCCATGTAGTATGATTCATTTTTTTAGTTCAGCTGAGAATGGATCATTTATGTAATGAAACTCTAACACTATGTAAACATATGGATAGATAGTGAACCTGTTGCTTTGCTTTTGAAGATTCCCTTTGGGGACAGACATGTCAATTTATTTATTTATTCTAATTGTGTGTGTTGAATATGTGTCTTAAAAGGGTGAAAAATCAGTATGTGACTGGCAGAAAAGATGGTTTCAATGTGATTTTATCGTCCGCTATTTGTCGCATGTGTTCACTTGGTTAGAGAATAATCAATTCAGAGTTATATTCATGTTAATTTCCCCTTTGGTCTATTTTCAATACAACAAAAACATGACAAAATGCCCTCTATAAAATGCCATTCCATAGAGTTATTAAAGCAATACGATTTGTGCAAAAAGTTGAATCCATTAAGCTTAATAATCTTGACACAGCATAATATTAATGACCTAATCTACATGTTAATGCTGTACAGCATAATGAGCCAGCGTAGCTTTTGAAAAACTGAGTTCTAAGTGAGGGAGAGAGGGTGAGCCAACGATCAAACAGCCTTGGGGCTGGGAATTTTACATATCGGCATTGCTAAAATCAGGGTTCTCTACTGATGACCAATGCCAACATTAGAAATAGATAGAGAACCAACAAAGTGGATTTTCTCCACTATATAAATAACACTGAGAAAAATCATTCTAAACTAAATGAAATAAACTACAAATAAACAATCCCTTCCTGTCTCACGCATGGGGAAAAGTTACTCTTAGAGAACCCTGGTGACATCACGTCTCTCTGGTTGCGTGAGCTATTTTCCTGAAAAGATAAACGCATCCCGATGTGACCCTCAGCTTCCTGGTGAGTTTCATGGTGGACGCCCGCGGGGGGTCCATGCGAGGCAGCAGGCATCACGGCCTGCGGGTGATCATCCCGCCACGGACCTGCGCGGCGCCCACACGCATCACGTGCCGCCTCGTCAAACCCCAGAAACTGACCACGCCCCCGCCGCTGGTGGAGGGGGAGGGGCTCGCCAGCCGGATCATCTCCCTGGGGCCCTCCAGCATGCAGTTCCTGGGGTGAGTCCCATTTGTACATGAAAAACCTGCATTAATTCTGGAAAACATGTGCTCAGATATGCAGTCATGACCGTATTCATACTTTAATTAGTCTCTTGCTTGTGATTCTAATTATTACCAATGACTGTTCAGTTTAGTACATAAAGGATAAGGGTGTGTGCTAACCCGTAACAAATTAAGAAATCAGAATTACATTTTTTAATTCACATTTTTAAATCTTTGCAGTATTTAGAAAATAATTACAAAGTTGATCAAATCCAACGATAACAGTATTGCATAACAAAAATGTTAATTATGTTTTTTTCTATTCGTATATTCTGTATAATTGCCGGGCAGATTTATTTGTGAGCAGGGCGCCAAATGAAAGGTTTTCAAACAGGTTGTTGTTTCCCTGGCAGACCTGTGATTGTGGAAATCCCTCACTTTGCTTCACTGGGCCGAGGGGATCGAGAGCTTGTGGTTCTTCGCAGTGAAAACGGCTCCGTTTGGAAGGAGCATCGTAATCGCTATGGCGACGAAGTGCTGGAAACCATCCTGAATGGCATGGATGAAGGTCAGTGTGTGTGTGATTGTGAAGGGTGTTGCTGTTTGTGAGACTTTGAATCAGTTCTTCTCATGTTCACTAGAAAATATGGCTTTTTTTTACTTGTGGGTTGAAACAGATTATATTTCAAAGTGCACTAGAGTTGTTTCTGATCGTTATCTCTCTTCACTTTAGACCTTGAGAGTCTGGAGGAGCTGGACAAGAAGAGAATCCGTCGTATCATCTCCACTGACTTCCCCCTCTACTTCGCCGTGGTCTCTCGCATTCAACAGGAGAGTGACCTCATCGGCCCGGAGGGAGGCCGGCTGACCAGTAAGCTGGTCCCCCACGTGGAGGCCATCTTCCCTGAGACCGCAGTTACCAAGAGAGTGAGACTTGGGCTGCAGGTAATAAGAAGTGTAAAATGACTGTAGAAATGTAACAATAGAATAATCTGATGCAGATACACACTTTTCTGAACTAATTACCGTAGATGTTTGTTTTATTTGTCAGTTAAATGCAATCTATTGCTGTGCATAGACAATAACATGCTGGCTCATTCTCTGCTTTCGTTGCTTTTATTCTCATCGGGTTGGCATTTGACAGATTCCCGGACTTGATGCCGTGTCTGTTTGACCAAAGAGCATGAGCATGAAGGCTTTTGCCATCACTCAGAAAGATTTGTTGTACTTTACTGTCACTGGATAAACTGATTTACTTATTTTGTGTATTTAGGGGCTTATATCTTGGTCAAGACTAGACATTTAAATGTTTAATTTACAAAAGCAGGGAATCCATGTTCCACGTAGCGGTTAATTTTTTAAAATTTTCATAATCACCCTCTCTAAAACTGAGCTGAAAATAATCCAAGTAATAACGATTTAGAAAGAAAAAGTTTTGATTTGTCATTGTTGTGGTATTGTTTTTTATTTCCTTTTTACGTGACAAAATGTTTTAGTGGATAGCTGATTCTTCATTTGTGTTGTTATGGTCACTTGGCTGGGCAGTTTTTACATTTCCTGTCGCGGCACATGTGTATGCGGGGAATGTGCGTGGATCTGAGTTTTGCTTTGCCTCACGCTGGTCTTTTTATGTTTTCCTTTTATCCAGCCATTCATCACTCCCCACTTCCCTGATTTAAGTTGTGAGCCACTTTGACCAAGCTGATGCACTGATCTGAGTTGGGTCAGGTGTGGGCTATGAATTTGTTGCATGTGTGAGTATGGCTGTGCGACAATTCAGTTTCTTGCACATTTGCCCGTTTTCGTTTTGCCTTGTTTTTTTACAGAGAATGCCTGTGCCCCGTCCTTGTTCTGTTTGTGCTTGAAGTTGTCTGTCACGTCGTTGATAAACTGTCTTTTTCAGCTTTATATCCTTGAAACTTCTGCTGTGGCCTCCTATAAGTGAGTTTTTTTCCCCTCACCATTCAAACTTCAGGCACAACCGATCCCTGACGAACTGCTGACTAGGCAGCTTGGCAACCAGGCAACCTTCAGCCCAGTTGTTACCATCGAGCCGCGGCGACGGAAATTCCATCGTCCGATTGGACTGCGCATTCCTTTACCACCGTCCTGGAGGGAGAGTCCGCGGGATGCTGGCGAGGGAGATACCACCAGCCTGCGCCTCCTCTGTAGCGTCATAGGTACTGTAGGGGGTCATAAAAAGCTAAATGTTTGAGCAATAAGTGACTATAAGAAATGTACTGGTGAACAACGTGTGTAGAATTCTGTCGGATTTGTTGAACGTCCGAATATGGTTTGTGGGACTCAGGTGGAACAGCACCAGCTCAGTGGGAGGACATTACTGGAACTACTAAACTGATGTATGCCCACAACTGTGCCAGTTTTACCACCAATGTGTCTGCAAGGTGAGTAACTGAGCAGCACGCAGGCCAAAGTTATCATCAGCCATCTCTCCCTCCTTGTTTCCTTTATTTTCTGTCTACATATACAATGTCTTTTCTTCTCCCTTCCCTCGTCCAGGTTTTGGCTGGCAGACTGCCCGCGAACAGCAGAGGCGGTGACCTTTGCCAACCTGCTGTACAGGGAGCTCATGGCCGTCCCATATATGGCCAAGTTTGTTATTTTCGCAAAGATGAATGAAGCACGGGAAGGCCGCTTACGTTGTTATTGCATGACAGATGACAAAATGGACAAAACTCTGGAACTGCATGAAAACTTCACTGAAGTGGCACGCAGTAGGGATATTGAGGTCTGAACTGGGGCAAAAGGGGTCAATGTTAGTCTGGTCAAATAGTCTGGTATGCCATAGACGTTTTTATTTCTTCTTAAGGATATTCCAATTTGTGACTATTACCTACCTAACATCTTCCAATTTAAATTTGATTCCAGTTATGTTTTTTTTTTCACGGACATTAGATTATATCCCTTTTTCGTGTTCCCCACAGCTCATGGAAGGCATGCCGCTGCACCTGGAGTGTTCAGGGAACCTGGTTCCCATCAGGAAGGCCACGCAGCAGCCTCGTAGCTTCAGCTTCCAGGCCTTCAGAGATAACAGGCTGCCCGTCTCTGTGAAGGTCTGTCTGCTACTGACTGCTCTTGCCTGCTTTTGTGTCACTGGTCATGAATTCACGGAGTATTGTGTTTTTTTAATTTGTTAGTTTTTTCATGATTTCTTTCTTCTTTTTAGGTGTTCAAGTTCGCCACCTAAAAAAAACCCCAGATAGATACGTTTTAAGGTCATTTAATCCTGAAATAAATTTTAAAGATACATTATACGTATTAGTAGTATAGCAAATAGTGGGTTTATTTGCGATTGGGCAATAGTTATTAGTATCTAAGTATCTAACGCTGATCTTTATCTTTTTTATCAGAATTTAGAGGAAAATGCAACGATAATTATTGCTCTCATTTCTTGTGCAATTTGTTAACAATTTTTGTTCATTTTCTTTGTGGTAATTCATTCAGTCATTTTAAACATGACTTTCATCTTCGCATCAGATTCATTGTCTTTCTATATTTTATTGTAGCCCTTCTCTCCCACCGGTGACACGTCATGTATATAGAATTGCAAGAGACGTTACACTTTGAAAGATCTTCCTGATGTTTTACAGATGAAATGTTGTCTGATCTAAGTCACAACTCAAAATTGAGATAGTCTCACTGAAACTATAAAACCTTTTCCAAAAGGTTTTAGCAAACAAAGTTGGGGAAGTGTTCTGAGCCCCTGATTAGTTACTACTCCTCCAAAGAGTGGATGTGCACATCTTACCAAAACAGTTAATAAAAACCATATAAGTGCATCAAGATTTCGAAGTAACGTAACATAACGCTGTTTATCTGAATGAGATGAGGCCAAAATACTTCTGGAATAACTCTATGTGGACAGATGATACAAAAGTGTACATGTCAAACTATAATATACATAATTTTCAGTATACTATTACTGTTAGTAATTAGTGTCAGGCCTCCAGGTATGGGTGCTTTGGAATCATTGACTGGATTATTATTTCAAAACTATGAAGAAAAAAAAGTCAAGTATACACACTATAAATCAAAGGCAGGCTGGGTATAAAGAAGAATGACTATGTTTTAAAATGGCCCACCCCATAATAAAGTTAACAAGTGTCATTTGCCTTCCCCACTATGTGAACATTCCACTGATTTTTCGTCCAGATTTCCTATTTAATTGCAAAAGGAATAGATTTTAAAAGCAACTCGGACAACAAATTGTGTTGGAATTGTGTGAATAGGTCCAAATGTTTCTGGACCTATTCAAAGATCAGGCCACATTTTATTCTTATATATAGAATAAAGAATATCTATTCCTAAGGGTCTCAAACTCTTCACCGTAACTGTTTGTGAACAAGCCTTTTCATGTCTGTCCCCTGACCATATTGATGTATTTTGGTGGGCTGTGCTTATTTAATCAATTAATTTCTTTTTGTGGAGGTACTGCCAGTGTCATTCCTTCCATGTGTGTCTGTCATTGTGGCATACAATACAGTTCAGCAGCAGCTAGTTGAATTATTGTAGCCGTGCAATAAACAACTCACCTATCTAGCTACTCTCTTGGGTAATTGTTTGCATGTCCTGTGACTCCCTCACTTTCTTTGCCTGCCTTCCTATCTTGCGGCCTTGCCTGTCTGTACGTGTCTGTCTCACTGTCTCTCTTTCTCTCTCTCACGGTCACTCTGTAACTGTCTGGTCTGACAGACGTCCAGGTAAAATGTGCAGGTAAATCTCTCCCTCTTGCCTGCCTGTGGACTGCTTCCATCCCTGTTTCCCCCCTGCTTCTCGTCCCATGTTACTGCGCACCGTGCTCCAGACACTGCGAAGCGATCTAATACCTGTTTCTGGTCTGTTTTTTCTTCCTCTTGCTGCTCTGCGTTCCTCTGCTCCACATTCTTATTTCTTGCTTTCCTTCTTTCCTCACCTTCTTTCTCCTCCTATACTGCCTCTATATTCCGGCCTTCCTCCTCCCTCCTTCTTTCTGTCACTGTCTACTATCTCCACTAGGTCCGAGATAGCAACAAGGACGCCACTGGGTTTTTGTCTTTTCTGCGGAAGTGCACCAAGTATGAGGACTCGCAGCACGTACTGTGTAACCTTAACATAACCATGCCACCTTGTGTCAAGGTAAGGGCTTGACTGGAGAAACAAGTCAGCTTTCGTTCAGGCTTTTCTGTGCTTCAGCTTCTGTTTCGTGTCTAATTAGAACAAGGCCTGAACAATTGACTTTCCCATGAGATTCTCACAAAAATTGCTGGAATTTTGTATTTATCAACCCATGAATGAAATATATCGAAATAAATTTTTTAGGGAAATGCATTTCTACATACATACAGTACATTGGGATTTAAAGTTCCTTTGAAAGTGCTTGGAGAGGTTTAATGGAGGCCATGCCCTTCTCAGGAAGTCCAGTTAATTTTGATGGATTTATAGCCAAAGAGTAAAAAATGAGTGGTATTTTATTGGACATAAAATTGGGCTTCTCAGATTCATCAGTCATATTCGAAATATGACTGATAATTCGAAAGTATGAATTCCCACAATCAATGTTTATCCACACACAAAATCTGTTTCAATATTTAGAACAGATTAGCTGAGCAGTGTAAAGCAATTTACCAATTTCAGGATCAGGAAAGATCAAGAAAATGGCCACAAATAATAAAAGCTTATAATGAGTTTAGATCTTAAATACTTTCATTTATGACTGCCAACTTTAAAAGTATGGAGATTCTATATAATATTTTATTTCCATTCATTTCCTATAGAAATCAAACAAAAAGATTGAAGTTCAGGTCGTTGGTGTATACTATGCAGGCTAATCTAAATTTTCATCATTGAGTGCTACATGTTGTCAATGTCACATTTGCTTAACACTGTCTTTGGGGAGTTTAAAAAAGCTCCAAATTACTTAAAAGCACTAAAGCAATGTTTACCCCTTTGCATCAGGTTGTTGGCAGTGAAGAGCGCAGGCGAACTTTAACCCCTCTGGCCCTGAGGGAGCGCTACAGTGCACTCAACGAGCCCGGCGTGGGTGAGTCCGCATTGCCTGACCCTCAGCTCTCTCCGGACACACACAGAGTGGAGACGGGCACAGAATGTTGCACTGCCCCTTTCCCCTTACAATCCCGCTTTATATACTGCCCTCTCTATTTCGCTGTTATCTGTCTCATGTGCAAGCATGGCACAAACAGCCTTGGATGCAACACACTGCTCTACTCTACATGCCCCAGACTTATTTACAGCGCAGTTACGGGAACTCAAATTGACTGTGTGACCAAAAGATAAGGAGCACTCTCAAACATAATCCCAAAATGGCTCCATGGCACATGGCGAGTGGGCCTTTTTCTGTCCCGAGTGTCCTGGTAGCTCTGACGAGAGGTGAATGATTTTCTGTTATGTGGTTTTGCATGGCGCTGATGTCTCCACTGCGACGTCCAACCGCATGGCAGCAGATACTGTTGGCATTAGTACTCTAGCTAAGCACTGAGAATGGGCAGGACCTCGCAGTGGAGTTAGACAGAGGAGCCCTTACACTGGCCTTTGTTAAATGAATAGCCAAGTCGAGTGTTCCATTTGGATTATTTGACGCTGATCTTAGGTGGAGGGCAATGAGGAAAGGCCTTTTCTGTCTATCAAACACACAGCGCTGCTACATTGCAACCCAGTCCTTCTGTAATGGTTGCTGAATGCTAATATGATTAGTGAGACTAGCACCTGAATGAACCCCTTTCCACACGGTGCCCTGATCTTGAGGATTATACTGATTAAATTAATGTCATGGGCATTGCCTATCTCTTCCAACAGACTGAAAGGTAAGTATTGCAATAAAGAATTAAGAGCCACTCGTGTCAGTGTTAAGTGATTTACATCACAGAGGAGACTTAGACTTAAAAATGCAACGGTCTATAAGAATATAGTGTGTAACAAGCCCACAACAGAACAGACTAGAAATGTAATATTGACAAGATAATTAAACTGTGACATATGTAATCTGTGTGGTGTCATTTAATAGAGACTGTGTCAGTTAGGAAACACTTCAGTTCAGTAAATACTTTGTAGATTTGGGCGCGATGGCAAGCTTGTCTGTTTTTTAACTATTTCTTTTTTTCTTTTTAGCAACAGTGAATGCCATGGAGAGGGCTGAGATCAAAATCAACCTTATATCTGAGCAGCTGGGGTTGAGTTGGGCAGGTTAGTCACTCCGGAAGCAAACACTATGAAAAGTCTCATCAGGGCTTTTTAATAGGTGTGTTTGCCCACATATAAAAAACAAAGTAAGATTGCAGTCTGTGGGTCTAAATTCAGAGTCAAATCCTTTGTTTTGTGTTAGTCAGTCTGCTTTAAGTTGCATGATTGACAACCTGCTCCTATGAATGAGGTTTGGAAATTGATACATGGATAAAGACAAAGAACCCTGGCATGTCCACAAATTGCTGGAACCAAATACTTATAGAAAATTATGTTCCTTTTCCGTTTGTTCAACTGTTAATATTGTGTTTTTGCTGGTCCTTTTTGTCAGAATTGGCCCGAGAGCTTCAGTTTGGTGTTGATGACATCAACAGAATCCGTGTGGAGAATCCCAACTCCCTGCTGGACCAGAGCTCCGCCCTGCTCAGCCTGTGGGTCAGTAGAGAGGGGAGAAGGGCCAAAAGTAAGTCCATCACACGCGTCCCTTCAATGTTCATTAGAAGAGATAATGAATAAAGGCTTTTTTGCCCATACACATCATAGCTAACCATCCCAGTGAACTCATAATAAGATGCTGCTTGTTTTGTGGAAGACGACCCAAAAATTCCTAATAGGCAACTTTTTGTGATGATGGACTGATGATAGAAGTCTAGTGAATACACTGTGGAATTTATGCGTGAACTTATTACACTTCAAGATCCATCTCCAGTGGTACAATAGTCTCTAACATCCAAACCTTCCTGATCTTCCCTGTGTGTTCCCCTTTGTGTCCTTGTGTTTTCTCTTCCCCTCGTGTTCGTGTCCCTGTCTCCGTGGTCCTATCCCTCCACGTACGTGCCTCTCAGTGGAGAGCTTGTATGCGGCTCTGAAGAGCATTGACCGTGCGGACATTGTGACCTCGTTGGAGGGCCAGGCCCAGCAGCCCGGACCGGGGTCTTCAGAAGAGGGCGCGTGTCGTCTCGGCGACCGCGACTCTTCCTTTCTGTCCCCGAGCGTCATTAATGGTAAGACACAAAACACACAAATCATCAGATGTCACGTACAACAGGCAGTATTCAAGTAATCATTAAGCATTCATCCATTTTTAAGTATTCATCCGTCAGCATTAAATAACCCATCTAGAATAAGAAGGCAATGCTTGTGTCGGCTTTGACTCTGCACCACCTACAGTCTCAAAAAGGGCAAAGTTAGACAGTCTACATGCTCAGAATTGTTAGAACCAATCACAAGTAGGTTCAGTATGGTATGTCCCTGTACAAAATCAATTTCCTAATTAAGATTTGATTATTTAGTGACCATTCAAATCTAAAAATGTCCAAGTACTGAAAGAACAATCATTTGTCAAAGCTAAAATCAGCATTCCTGTACTTTGTTTGGTGCGCTTCATTGTCGCTACTTTGTCACTAGAAAGTTGAGACAGAATAACAAAGCCCCAAAAGATTTGCTTCTGTTTTCATTTACTTTTCACCTCTGAAGTCCGCCGTGTTGCCTTTGAGTGTGGGTAACAGCCAATGTACCTTGTTTCTATTGCCCCACAAGAGATGACGGACACAAGGCCATCACGTGTAGTGCACAAGCCGCGAGTTATTAGACCCCCGTTTTTCAGAAGGGGTAAGTTAACAGGAACTGGGGCTGCATGGTGGTTTGCTGCTATTGACATGACCATGATGATGTTGACAGTGATGATGGGTCTCAAATGATACTTTGAGGTCTGAGGAATGGGATCATTCTTCCACCGTGAAGCCAGCCTTGATCCGCATGCACTAACACCACCTCAGTGCATTCCCCAGCCAGGCACCAGTCATTTCTGTTTGAGTTACACTGTTTCACTCCTCATACTTTAGCCCAGAACAGGACGGTCCTTCTTTTTTTCTTAATCTGGGAAACAAAGATAACTTCTGGACCACCCGGTAAAAGGATTCCAAGTTGGTATCCAAGGATACCAAACGATTGAAAAACTTTTTGGGTAAATCGCATTAAATTCTTTTTCCCCAATGTGAAGACGGTTTTGATTATGTGTGGGCGTGTGTGTGTGGGCGTGTATGTGTGTACACGCACGCGTTTGTGTGTGTGCATACATGCACGTGTGTGTGTGTCTGTCTGGGATGGGTACACTCGTCAAAAGTGGCCCCGGTACACTAACGACAGTGTTTTTTCTGGGCTCTCATACCTTGTTTCTACCCCTTCTGCCCCTCTCTCTCTCTCTCTCTCTGCCTCTTTTCTCCTGAGAACAAGACAAAATTTTACTTAAACCCAGTCACAAACCGTATTGAAATTTTCTCTTCTCCTCGGGACTCTGTCTGATTTTCTCTCTCTTTTTCTCTGAACCTGTGACATGTCATATTTGCTGCCCAGCCGCCCCGCCCTTCCTCCTCCTCCTCCTCCGCTCTCCTGCTCTTCTTCCTCACAGCTCTTCCTGTCCGACCTCTGACCTCATAAGACCTCATGTTGACCTCTGGGCCTCCTCTTCTCTTGTTCTTCATCTTGTTTCCCCGCGCTCCTTCCTCGCTCAGTCGAGAGGGGACCCTCTCCTCCTCTCTAAATCCAGCTCAGTGTGTGTTTCTAAAGTTTGTGCATGTGCACGCTGCATGCGTTGCTGTTACAGTGTCCGTGCCTGTGTGTGTGCCTGTGTGTGAGAGCGTGCCCGAGACAGTGAATATCCTCTTCAGACCCAGCTTAAAACTGAGGTTGAAATTGTTAAAAGAGTTAAGTGAGGCAGAATACTTGGTTTAATAAGCAAATGCTAAATATATATATTTTTTAAAACTAATCATTTCCTGTGTTTGTTTAGTGTTACTCTAAATAGTTATTTCTGCAGGGTGTGTAAGTGAGAAGTTGCCTGACGTTTGCCCCTTTTTGTTAACGGCATCGACATGTGCATGGCATGCTTTCAGTGTATGAAGTTCTCTGCACAGTGTACAATGTTCTCTCCGTTCATTTGGGCGTTTTCGTCTTGTTTTTTATGCCAAATTAACAATCAACTGTTTGATTTTCTTTTCCTGTTCAATAAATTGTGTGTCCTCAATGCTACGCTGTTAACAACATGGACAGCCGTGTCGCACATAATGTTCAACACACTACGTTGCCACGACGTGAGGTCTGTCATTCATGGGCAAATGTATGCAAGACAATTCAGTCCGTTTAGTTTCCTGGTCTATTTTTCTACTCCCTAACCTAATCATTTTTACATTGAACACTGTGTTTTGCCCATGTTTGATGACCCGGTCACCGCAAGCACTGGCTGAACATTATTTGCCAGCGGGGATGTTGCTGTGAGGTGCGTGGTTGTGATGTGTGGTTTAGGTGTTTAGAGCCTTTTCTGTACAATGTGAATCTCACCCGTGAGCCAAAAATTGTGTCATTGTCTCTTTTTTTAAATATGTTTATATCTATAAAAGTGCAGTTTTTTGTTTTTGTGTGTGTGTGTGTGTAATGTTAAAACATGTAGTGTGTTGTCAACTTTTTTTTTCTTTTTTGTGTAATTTGAGTCTCTGTGACCTGAATCTGTGCTTCACCACATGTGCCTGTGACACCAGTGTGTGTGTGTGTGTGTTTGCGTGTTAGTGTTCTAGCGGCAGGAGTAAAGGGAAGGGCTAACCCAGACTCAACTAACTCATTCAAACTGTCATTCTGACTCATTCCTCTCTGTTCACCTCATTCTGATGCTTCTCGGCCATCCTGGCGCTGTACCATCCCAGAAACGCACAAGTTTCTTTCCCACACTTCGGTCCATAAGCACATAAACTCTCATAGTAAAATAATTGCCTAGTCAGGAGGTATTTCACCCACTTATAGCCCCTTGCTCTGTTCTAGAGTTATTGTTTATTCTAAGAAACTTGACATTTGAATAGTACACTCTGAGACACTGTCAGAAATAGTGCTGGTAAACGTCTAAACATTGAAGCTTTTACATCATAAAAATAAAAAACTTGATACGTTCATGGCTAAATCTTAGTGACTTAATAGATTCTTGTGCAATTGTCTGTAATAACATATGTCAGCTGTGCTTAAAGTCCAATTAATCCACTTAGCCTGGGGCTATTTTATGTATGAGAATCCGTGTCTCCATCACCAGGCTATACTGAGTACTGAAATGCTTATACATTTTTCTGTATGATTTACAATGGCAATAAGTAAAGAGTAGAATTCCTCAGCTGCAATTCCATCAAATGTGGAAAAGAAAATAGCCAACAACATTTCAACTCGAGTACCTGATGGCAGCTTCACTAAATATGCCATGCTTGGAACCTTTGTGAAATAAATTTCCCTTTTTTTCCCCCTTTTTTGGGGAGTAAAAGAGTTCAGCTGCAGTTTATCAACTCTTATTGACTGCTTTTAAAGATTTTAACGGAACCAAAATTATATTACATTCAATCAAGATTCAGAATCAAAGGCCATTGAATTATCGGGATGATCTTAAGTTAGACCGAACCCTGAACATTAAAACCCATGTTCTCACACAACCAATGTAGGTATGCTCTTTCCATCTAAGCATGATGTCAAGATGTTTTCTCAGGGCTTGATCTAATGCAGGCTGTGTGTAAAATACTTCTTGATGAATCACCCAAACCCCAGTACAGACATTACACAAGTAGTAGAATGAGATAATATTTACTTCAGCCGTCACCAGAAGTTAAAACTGTGGATTTTATTATCACCCTTAGCATCTCAGAGTTTTTTTATTTTTAAGTTAGACAGTAATTATTTAAATATAGTTGTTTTTAGATATAGCCACAAACAAAAATTGGAACCGTTGCCCTATTCCATTTTAAATGGCAGAATGTTTACTTTAGTAAATTCTTAAACAGAAAGCTTCCACGTTTGTTCTGATTGGAATTTAGTCCTTTTAGTATACACCTGAATTATGTGATCAAATATAGCAAAGCGGTTTTGGATTTAAATAAAAAGAGAAGAATTCAATTAGTGATTTCTTACTCGTGTATGTTTTAATGTTTTCTGTGTATTGTCAAAGATTGCTACGGTGAATGATCTCTAGATAGTTGAAAAAAAAAAAAAGGTTCTTCCGGAATTAATGATAAAGTATTACATGTCTATTCAGTGTGCTCTCATAAAAAAACATATCTAAATAACCACAAATTCTCATTTAATATTTTTAGATACATTTAAGTCACACAATTAGTGATTTATTAAAAAGTTTGCTTACCATAATCAAGCATACAGTCAAGCATACCATCAAAGATAAAGATTAGATTTTTCAGAATCTACCGTTTTGTTTGATGTGTGTGTGCACATTTATGTTTTGTGTGTGTTTGCGAAAGGCCTTTTTTGGATGATTGCGGTGAAAACATTTGAATGCATGATTCCGATGTGCGGCCATGACACAGGAGAATGCAAGGGCTACAGTAACTTGCATTTTCCTTTGCAGAATCTACAGGATGCTGCTGACTCATACTCAGAGACATTAAAACTCGGGTTGGAATGATACAAGCTCACTAAGTACTGTTTTAGATCATTGTGTGAAGAGAAATTGATCCAAATCGCTTTCTAGAATAATTTATTTGTGAAAAAGCAAAGAATTCTGATGGATCAGCATACATAGAAGAAGTTTGTTTACACTGTCTGTGGAACCTTTCCCAGATGTCTCTGAATATTGTGCCAACCCCACAATCAACACGTACCTCTGCACTTTTTTTTATATAAATGAACAGATAATTTTCCACAGATCCACATCCTTAATGTGGTAAGATAAAGGGTGCCCTGCATCGCTCACTGCTCAAACAAATGATACCACAAATCCCTCTTTTCCTCACCTCACACTTACGCTGTGTCCCAATGACAAAGACTTGAACTGTCTCAGATCAATCAGTGAAAGAAACAAATATTTAACCAGAAATTCAAACAATAGATAAAGCTGATTTCAGAAAGAAAGACGATGCTGGATTTACTGCTGTCATTATGTGTGTTTTTTCAATAAATAAATGCATAGCAGAGATTTGCTAGGGTTGCTCTGGACTGATTGGTTCTTTCTTTGCTTATGTTAGGTTCAGGCCACAGTAGTTTGGTGTGCAAGGTTGTGCCCATTTCAGCCTGAAGAGAAGAAATCAAAGACCTCAGTATATTCCAGTGTCCAGCCAACCTGGTACACTGAGCGGTTCAGATACAAGTTTCAGATTCTATAACAAAAATAAGATCCACTAAATGATGCCATTAATGCATGAGAGGTCTGTAAGTATTCAAACAGCTGCAAAAAAGAGGAAAACATTCTGGCCCCTATTCTAAATACAGACATGACAGTCACCGTAGATATTCTTTCAGCGAGAAATAAAAAAGTCAACCATAGGTCCACTTTTAGGTGTTGAAGAATGCTATCAAACAGTCTTGTGTACCTCTTCATTTCCATGATTTCAAATAAGATTAAATGGAGCATTGCTCCCACTGCTGCTATAGTCCCAAGAATCCACTGCCAGGTGTGTTGTGCAATCATTTTCAATTTTGGGCACATGGCCTCACGTGTGTTATGTCATGTCGCCAGATTGCAGAATTAGGAAGGTTTATTTCAAACTACTGTTGTCTGAGCCGGGCATTAATCAAATGTCGTCCAGCGGAATCCAAAGCGCTCGATGAAGACGTCGTTTCATGTCTTTGCTTAAGTATTGGGACAGGGCTGAGCCCCACTGTTTTTCCCGCGTAGGCTGAGGACAGTTGACCCGCCCCCCCCCCCCCCCCCCTCCCCTGTCCTTCCCTGGCTGTGCCTGCTTGGTGTTAGTTTTCTCTTGTCTCGCCCCTGTCTTCCCTCCAGGTTATGGGCTGGTGCAGGAGGAGCTTCTCTCTCCAGCCTCCATGCAGTACAGCCTGCCGTCCCCTTTGGGTGTGGAGCCCTACTGGCAGGAAGTGTCCAGTCTGGAGTGCGCTCCCATTGCCACCACAGAAGAAGACACTTTAATGGAGATGTCGGATGTGCAGGTGTGGCCGGCGGGGGTTAGTCCCTCTCTAGTCACGGTTGAGGACTCCTCGCTGGAGGGCAGCAGTCGGGCCGATGATTCGGAGGGCGCCACGCTCTCCCTGCCCTGCAGCTTAGGTCGTCCAAGCAGTGGAGCCAGCGGGGCCAGCGGGTCCATCATGGAGCTGGAGGAAGAAGAGGAGGAGGAGGAGGAGGAAGGGGAGGTTGAGGAGGAGGAGGAGGCACCACAGGAACCGGCAAGCGTACTGTCAGACAGGGACAGGGTGAGGGCCAGTGGCGCTGTACCCAAGCTCAATCTAAATGGGCAGCTGGGAGGTCAGAGGTCGGACGCGAGGAGAGGGGAGGCCATAGCGATGGGAGGAGGAGCGAGAGGCGGAGGCGGAGGTCTTGCGCTGAGTTCAGTGGAAGGGATTTCTCTTGTTGCAGGCCAGCAGATGTACGCCCAGCGGAGCGAGCTGATGGGCCTGAGTCGCTCCTCAGAACACAACGGAGACAACCGGTACATGAGCTGTTCGACGGCCTACACACCACACTGACCACTCTGCCATCCATGAATGTCTTCTGTCCTTCTTTCCCCTGATTTTTATTTATTTCCCCCCGCCTTCTGTTTTCCAGGATGGTAGGAGGTGGAGCATTTCAGCCTTACCTACCAGACAAGGACTCTCTGCAGGGCTGGGTGGGCTCGGTGTCATCCGGGCGGGATGGCGGCGTTCCGGGCCTGCTGGTGGCCCAGGAGGCCCTGCTGACCCCGGTGTGTGACACGGGTTACTCTCAGGCGCTGCCCGGGCACCTCCTTCAGGGCACGCAGCCTTTTGAGAAAGGCCTGGGCTTCTCTCATCAGGAAGCGGGCCAGCCAGCTTGGGAGCGGGAGCAGAGGCGGGGCCAGGTCAGGTTGCTACGCCAACCAACCGCCGCTCCCTGTCCCTGGAGGGGGGAACATCTTTGGTCCATCTTACCTTTTGTTGAATGATCAAATTGGAATTCATTCATTCAATTTGATTATATTGCTCGAGATCATTCTGAACTCAGTAATCATCCCGGGGAGGGGGGATTGGAGGGTCAGTGGTTCCACTCCATGTTCCTCCAGGCCACATGAGGAAGAACCTCAAGTTGCCTACCGGTGTATCCACCGGGGTGTGAATATGTGTGTGTGTGTGTGTGTGTGTGTGTGTGTGTGTGTGAGTGGCTGAATGGCATGCAGTGCCCTTTTGACAAGCACTATATGAGTACAAGTCTATTTACCATTTACCATCCGAACAGAAGATTGATCATTGTGATCAAGTTGTCTTTTGTTCAACATTCCCGATTGGGCATACATATACAGAATGTTGCTAAAATAAATAAATAAATAAAATTGAATATTAATCAATTTTTTTCATCAACCTTTTGTGTTTCAGAGAGAAGAGAAACAGGACTATTCAGCTGAGGTGCAGTTTGTTGAGGAACACGGACCTTCTCTCGCAAGAAAGGTGTGCTGTTTTTTTAATCCTCTGTGCTAAATTAAACTCACACAAAACTGCGTAGCTGACAGTCCCCCCCCTCACTCACCCCCCCCTGCCCCATGTTGATTCAAGCCTTTTTTCCCCTAATCAGCATACATGAAAACAAACCAACTATGACTCAAAGATGCTTTCCTTTTGAAACTGGCATCACTTTGTTTTGGAAAAATTGTACAAGAAATTGCCGTCATCACTGGCAGAACGCTGGGATTCGAGATTTAATCTGGCTTGCTGATTCACAGCTAAATGTAAAAATCTCTGACAGATGGTGATTGAGTGAGCCATAGTTAGTTTCCTGCTCTGGTTTCAACTCAAGGCTTCAGCGGTGAAATGGTCTGAGTTTTGTTTCCCCCCCCCTCCTCCTGCCCTCCTTGCTCCAGGTGGGGGTGGATGTGAGAAGGGGCGCTCAGTCAGTGCAGCGCACCAGTCTGCGGAGGGTTAAACACTGAAATACACACACTATCCAGTCCTTCAGGTACGGGACACGCGACAAGCACTTGTGCATCCCAGTGCTTGGATCAGTGCCTTAATGGTGACCTATCGGGCTGTTAGTCTGATAGTTTCCCGAAAAAGCAGTTCTGTCTATTTAGAGCCCCATAATTTAGGTACCGTTTAAAATAATACATTTATATAGACTGTAGTCATTTGTAAATCCTTTGAAATTTATATTGAAGCTAAAATAGCGCAAAAAAACATATCAAATGGGATGTAATGTGTCTTTTTTCAAACATGCTCAGATTTCTATTTCTATAAATGTTTGACGCAGTTGTTCACTATTCAATGTGTTCCAATTATATTGTTGTTTCTGTTGTTTCTTGCCTACTCTCATGCGTATAAGCCTACAGAAAAAAACACATCAGGGGTCTGCATTGGAGAAGTGTGTGTCTTTTGGAGCAGGAGAGGTAAATCTAGAACTTAATTGGTGAACCAGAAGGCCCTTGAACAGAGAACAGACAGGATTCTGTTTTGGACGATTAACATTTGTTGGGCAGCCTTTGTAACACGATGAAGCTATCCTGAGCTCAGTTTACCAGTCCTCACTTTACCCGCCCCTCTCCTCTTCTATTCTCTACTGCACTTGTGTTTGCTTTACTTCATTTAATGTTTTACTGGGGGAAAAGTCACACTGAGAGTAGTCATACAACAGGGATTCGAACCGTACAGCCATAACAGCAGATTGGAAATAAACACACTCATACTGATAAGAAATGGGGGGGGGAGAAGGGAACTCAACAGCTGTGAGGGCTCTCATTCTTACCTGATAATGAACTACAGCACAAATCTGAAGTTTATACTTTTCGACATTAGCAACAGCAGTTACTGTGTTGCAGTATGTCCCTGATAGATTTATTTCAAAGGAGAAAGCTGTGAGTTTTTGGATTGAGGGTAGAAACAATCATTCGGTTTTCCTAAATGCTCCTCAGCCCATGCTCAGTTTTTAAACCTAAAAATATCTCTGTGGCATCACAGGCCTGAAGATTACAACCACTGGCGTCTAATTTTCTCCTTTCATTTTTAGATTTCTTCTGATTCTCTGAATCTTTCAAAGATATTGAAATTAACAACACCTTGCTGGTTTCTGTGGGAAACGCTATTATCAAGTCATACAGCATATCACAGAGGGCTTAAACTTTCCTCATTCTCCTTCCATACAAGCATATTTTTATGTACGGATGTACAATCTCACAGCCATTTTCTAATGAAACCTATTCATTTTACCATTTGATATGCTTCCTTTGTACTATTTTTAGTCTGTAATTGTTGGCCAAACATTGTGTCCCACTTTTTATTTGCACAACACGTCAATTCATCTCTGCTAGCAGGATTGAATAGGATTTAAAGGTGATATTTGTGAATACTGAGATAATTTCTATCACATTTGCCTATTCATTTTGTTCTTCTCTGTTTTTATAGGACAGAAAAGCCACTGCCAAACCGTCCACCACAAAAACACGATCAGACCGGAGAGGAAAATGAACAGAGGGGAAGGGAAGACAAGGACAAACACGACAAACAAAACTATCTGTGACCTATAACCGTGGCGCGACACAAAACAAAACAAAAGAAGATGAGGAAAAGAGCGGAGTTCAACTTGTAGTTTTATAACATTTGTAAAGATATCAACCAAACGACGGCATGAAGATTTCTCTTTTTATAATAAAAAACAAAAAAACAACAGAAATGTTAGAAAACGACTAAGAAAAAAAAAAAGCAACAAAGTGCTTCCTGTGAACTGTAATCGCATGATGACTGCTGGTGCATGCCCTTTGACCTTTTGAACTGTCATTATCTACAAACGGAAGGGGGTGCGAGGTATGGGTCGCAGGCCTTTTTAAAGGACCTCTTCTCCCCGACTGGAGTGGTTTGTATCAGCAAGTAGAGTCCAATAACACTACAGCCAAAAAAGAAAGTCCCTCGAAGGATGGTTGTGTAAAACAGCGAGGCTTCTGCTGAGCCCACGACGCTTCTTTCACTAGACCCCCGCCCCCCTATTATTCCCAATGTGATATATGCACTCTATGCTACGTGGACCTGTGTCGGTGTGTGTGTATGTGTGCGTATGCGTGTTAGTACTCTACCGCATGTGTATCTTGCTTCTAGCTTGGCACAGAGCCCTGCCCCTCGATTGGCTTGTTGTCTCTCCGTGATGTCACAGCGCGCTCAGCGCAGGAATGAGAAAGCAGCGTCCGCTCCTCTGCCCGTGAGTTCTTGTCTGCGTGCGCTGGCCTTTGTCTGTGGGGTTTGTTTTGCTTTTTTTTTTTCTCTTCGTGGGCGAGCTCGCTTCTCGTCATTTGTTCCTTTGGAGCCGGCATTGCTCGACTTCGGCAGAGAAGTGAACCTCCGTCAGCATTGATGTTTTCCAGGGGAGACGCGTTCTCCAGACAACAGGAATGTTTCCTTTTTAGAAAAAGGCTTGGTTGCTCGATTGCATTGCGCGGCAACAATTGACACAAAGCTCTACTTTTTCCCTCCCCTGGGATCGCCAGTACCCTTGATTTTTTTTTATTTTTTAAATCTAGTAGCATATAACATCTGGAGCCACCATGTTTCTCAGTAGCTCTTGTCTATATGCAGTAAAATAACAGGTTTCGCTCTTAAGTTTAAAACTTATATGCTCCCTCTTTCTCATTGGTCCCAACAGCTCACTGTCAGATTGTAGTCAATCCACTCATCAGAAGGGAAGCAGAGAACAAACCGAGGATCTGATTGGTACAAGGATTTTCTAGCCAGTGTTAATTGGCGCCATGCTCCAGCAGCTGCAGCATGGGATGTTGAGCAGAACTGTGAGGCAAAGGCAGACAGGTAGCACTGTGATTGTCCTATTAACACTGACCCCAGACTCGTGAACTGTCTAGACAAACATTCACATATAGTCCGAGCAAAAGCACACTCACACACACACACACACACACGCAGAGAAACAGAAATGAGGAACCGTCTCCTGGTCCGGCTGTCAGATAGTTTTTTGCCTCAGCAATAATAAATATTAAGAAGAGGAGATGGAAGACTTTGATTGTCTGAGAATGAGAAAAAGAAAGTTGGGATAAAAGTTAGCTCTTCAAACGGAGACTCTTGTCTGAGTTTGGCGTGGAAGCTGCGAGCTGCGCGGGGGGGCATGAGTGGTCCCGTCTACCTTGAGGTGAATGAGTCAGAAAGGACAAACTTCTGCAGGATCAGATGACTCAGCCGTAGCATTCCGGGAATGCGGAAGACCGGGGAGAGGGTGCGCTTGCTTTTCATCACCGTTCATTTCTATTGCTGTTATTCTTGTTTCTCAGCACAAAACGTAGCAAAATATAAAGCAGGACGTCTTTGGTGGAAATTCTAACATCCGTTGAGAAGTTGGCTTCATCCCTGAGGTGGAATTTTTTCTGAGTTTTCACAGCTGTTGTCATGTATTTCCAATGCAGTCGTGCGTAACTGTAATTCACCTTTCATCCAACACTTTATGCAGAAAAACCTAATGGCAGCACTATGTAGAGGTTGTATTATAGTAGCACATATTTCCTGAAAATCCAAACCGACTATCTATCCCATACAGTAAGTACTGTAAATAGCACTGTAGCCTGAGCGAGTGCAGCACTGAGTGAATGGACACGTTAGTTATTTGTCACACTGGTTCACGTTTTTCACGGCCTGCGCGTGCACGAGACCGCCGCCTGATAATAGCACATGTTTTTTAACATATCACATTCTCCACTCAGGTTTTTTCTTTTCTGCCTCGTCAGAAATAAAACGTTTTTCACTTCTCAGTTATCCTCTGGAAGACTATGGTGGGACACGCCCCGAGTGTTTCAGAAGAGGGCGTTGCGACTGGGGGATGTAGGGTGGGACGGGGGTCACATCCAGGTTTTGAGGTGATGTATGAAACAGGATGTTTTGTGTTGAATTTGTAGTTGTGAGAATGTGTGTGTTCGTGTGTCATTTCTTCGGTTCAGATAGAACAAAAAGGACAGAGTGCTGGTGAGTCCAAAAACTGCCCCCCGTTTGGTGCTAGGACACACACCTCTCTAAACATTTATCCTGATTCTTGGTGTCGACCAATCAGGATTCCGTGAAGCACAGATTTGACCTTTTCATACTAGCTGCGTTCAATTTCACTGAATCAGAAACGGTTTATTGTGTGTTAGTTTTTACTTTTCAGGCAAATTACATCATTTCTCCTAATCAGCAGGAAGTCAGACTTTGACTCTAAACTCTAAACAAAAGAGAAAACAAGGAACGCACTCTTTATTTACTTAACATTTACTGTTCTTTTTTTTTTTTAGATACAGTGGATTTAACTCAACTCATTCTCTGTCCTTAAAGTCAGTGAACCGTATCAGCACAAAATCCAGTTTTGAATTTATAATCCTCCAATAAAACTGGCCATTTTGATGCTTTTTTTATGATAAGCCAGCAGCCGTCCCACAGATGTCCCTTTTCTTTCATCTGAAATACAGATTTTTTTTTCTTTTCATTGAATGTGATGCATCAACATTGTGCATTTACCGGAATACCAACGTCATTCCTGTGTTTATTATGTCACTGAATCAGTCTCATTCAGACAATCATCTTTGGAGAATGAGAACATCCCTGGGTGCCTGTCAAAAATGGAGAAGGATTGATAGTTATTGTTAAAGGGGATTTAGAAGTGACTACAGTAGTGACTTCGATAGTCATTTTAATTCCATTTGCAGGCGATATGGTTGAATTTGTGTCCAGAGATCCTGGGGCAACCATAGTTAATCTATTTATCTTTGCTTCCTTGTTATGATTATTATCATTATTTCACACTCTCCCACAACTCTGAATTGATTAAATGTGCGTAGAAAATTATTGGATGGATTTAATTTAAATCTGAATTCAATCTGGATTTATTAATCCTAAATAAGGTTGAGCTGGTCCTCTGAAAAAGGCCTTCAAACATATAAAACACCGAGTTGGACAGACATTGTTGTAACTTGTGAAACTCAGATGTTCTTACCATCATTTCAGTCCAGTTCTGCCAAATCAACCAGAACTAATATCTTCATTCATTCATCCATACATACTTTATCCTATGTAAGGTAGCAGGAGAAGGTTAGGACAAACCACGTCCTGGACAGGTCACTAGTCTCTTACAGGGATTGCTACGATCTAAATTACCATTACTTTTACTTAACTCAATTCTCTCCTCACTTATTTATGTCTTGTATTTTGCTTATTTTTGTTCAATATAATCATTTACTCCCAGTGACTATTTAATAAACTATGGGTTCAGATTTCCATCTAAGGTAAAGTAGTCGGTGAGATCCTGAGCACTCTGGTAAACTCACATTCATCATGTTTAGGTGTTCCTATGGAAGTCTGTGTGTGTGTCTCTGTGTGTGTGTGTGTGTGACGATGTGAGACAATGCTTGGTTTAAAACCATCTAGGATCAAAGCGGGAAGACGAGAGAACATTTTTACCAGGCATGAGACTAAAGAGGATGTGTAACCAACAATGGTGTAATGAGTGTTGTACAAATTTAACTGTCGCAAAGAATAAAGATCACCTATACTCCTTTAGAATGGATACATGACGATGTAAACGCAATATCATATTACTCTATCCTAAGGAATGCAACTGCACACATGCACAAAAAAAGATGTTTTTATGAAAAGATGTGTATAAATATATGACAAAATATATTTAATTAATTAGAATGCTATGCACCCTCATAGTCGTTATGGATGTTCTTTAAGCATTATATAGACTAGGCCAACACCCACATCATGGGGAATGTAGAGGCTTTGTAGCTATGACCATTTGTTTTCTTTTCTTTTGTATTATCCCGGAGAGAGGATAAACAAACGTGAATATGTATACAAGCCTTTTGATCAGAATCAGTCTGACATGAAGATATGTATAGATCATCTTACCCTGTACACCAGCTCTTACCATTTACAAGAGTTAATAAACAAAGACGTGACATAAAGTTTGTGGCTTTTTTATGTTTTTTATGTTCCCTTTGTTGGTTATTTCTACCCAAGCTCAAATCAGTACAGATATAAATGTGCATGCACCTTATTTGAAATCACTTCTAGGTGATGCTTTGTTTTACTTTCATAAGTCAATTTATTTTTCCATTTATTCTGAGTTGTGTTAGTCTGAAAGTACACAGTGAATAGTTATTGAAGTGATTATTTGCAATATCACTTATATATGTGCTATATACAGTATATGTTTTTTTCATGAAAATATCTGTGAATAAGTAATGTGTTGGTTGATGTGGGGAAATCGTCTCAACTACACGCGCTCAAAAACAATGTGGCAAAATTCGCACCCGTTATCTATCTGACACAGTTTTGACGAAACATGTGATTGTTGGAACAGTACAAAAAGCATTAATGATTTCCAATGGCCGAGCTGAATGAGCAGGTTTGCGAAATGACAGCTCTGTCTCATTTGGATGTTCGAATTAAGAAAAGGACGAGATGTGTCAGTAGGTAAGAATAAAAGGAGCTAGAGCTGCAACACTAAATGGATGTTCTGGATCACATCCAGACGCCAGGACAGACAAATAATAGATAAAAAAGCCAACACGTTTAAGATCAGGGCACACACACATACACAAACGTTTCTAAAGCAGGTTAAGAAGTAAAAAAGATGAACATGATGTTTTATTTGGGTTCCAAACAGATCATTTGTGCTGTTTTTTTTCAACTGGGTATAAAATAGATGTAAATAAATGTCATCTATTTGGTTTATTTCTGGATTCGGTGGTTTCTGGTGTCTGTGTGTCAGAGGCCCCTCCCGATGAGGAAAAAAACTACAAATTCGACTGGGCGTGACGCCCCCCTCCCTCCAGCCAATCACAGGGCCGCTCTCCACGTGACGCCCGTAGGAGGCCGCTGACTTGTTTTGGGTGAACCCCGACCACGTGGACGAGCGGGGCGACTTTTTCCTCCACCTTCCGCACAGCCCGAGCAGCCCGACATGTCCGCGGGAGGCCAGGCCACCCGGAGCCGCGAAATCCCGGCCGTCCGCCGGGTCGCCATCCACGACGCTGCCCACATGCCCCAGGACTACTCCACCACCCCGGGAGGAACCCTGTTCAGCACCACGCCAGGAGGTAAAAAAATAAATAAATAAATAAAAAAGTGATTAATCTAGTTAGAAAGGTGGAAAGATCGATAGGAACTTTTTTATTTATTTATTTTTTTTTGGAGAGATTTTACGCTTGGCTCAGAGTTGCCACACTTCCCGGAGCAACTTCTAGGTGTTGTCCACCCTCCTGCCATGTTTGCCTCTCCGGAGAGAGTCCGGAGGCCAACACAAAGTTAAAGAACTAGTTTTGAGACCTTTTGTCCTACAGCTGAAGTAAAAGATAGAATGCGGATGTGATTGCGTTTCAGATAAGAGCAAAAAAAAACATAATTCGCTTTTTCTTTCGTCCGATTGTAAAAAAAAAAAAAAAAAAAAGAGTCCCGTGCGGTGCCGTGTCATGTTCCTGACCCCTCCAGTCTTGACCCCGTGCGCTTCGTGCGCTCCGTGCGCGCGGTCAGGACTGGACATCGACGTGCACGAAAGCGCATCAGTGGCAGAATCGGCCCCATAAGAACAGATTGTGACATAAACCAGAGAAGCCACAACGTGCTGGAAGTCATAAGCTATTTATAGAGCTGCTTTTACAGCTGGCTGTTGTTGAGAGACAGCAACAACTTTACAGGAGGTGGGCTCCATGTGGTCAGCCTGCTGGTGCCAAAGCTAAAGACCGGAAGTACTGACTGCCCCCTGCACCTCCAACCACACACAATATATTCTTTCACCTAAAGTTTCATATTTATTGCGAGGAAAAGATCAGAGGTGTGTGTTTTGGTGGCTGGTGGAGGCGGACAGCGTCCAGCCCGAGCAGGAATCCGGCCGGGTTTCATCAACACACTGAGAGGGTCCTCTCTTTGACCGCCCACTGTCCAACGCCGGCCGGGCCGGAGCCTTGGGAAAGCTCCAGTCTGGTGATAAAAGCCAAAAGAAGAATGCTGAAGTTGTGTGAAAGTGGACGCAGGTGCTTTGCCTTCGCAGCAAACTGATAAAATGTTCTGTAACACCAGCAGGTGGGACGCAGGTCAAACAGATAAAACACGAGTGGGTAGGCAGATGGGCGGTTGGCGGAGAAGAAAAAAGTAGGTTACTGGTCAGGGACGTGTAGGAAAAGAGTGTGTGTGTGTCTGTGTGTGTGTGTGTGTGTGTGTCTGCGCTGTACAGACTTCAATCCAAAGTATGGAGGACAATCTGGAAGGAGAGAGATGTGTCTTACTACACAAAATGAATATCAGTTTCACGTGATTGATCTGATTATGAGGTTTTAATGTTTTCTAAACAGCATCAATGAAAAAAAAACACCAGACAGGAAGCGGTGAAACGCGCGTTTTTGTCAAATTGCGATGGATCGGACTGCTCACGGGTCCCCTTCTCCCCGCAGGTACCAGGATCATCTACGACAGAAAGTTCCTCCTCCAGTGTCGGACGTCCCCGCTGGCCCGGACGCCCCCCAACCTGCCGGACATCCCGGGGGTCACCCGGCCCCTCAACTCCGACTCCAGCCACCCGGAAAAGCCCCCCCCCAGCAGCAGCAAGAGCCAGCAGCAGGCGCACGCCCAGAACGCCGGTGAGCGCGTTTCCCGACGTTTTGTTGTTGTTGTTTTTTTTAGTGTCTCTTAACCCCCCGACCCCACCCCGTGTGTTGTCTTTTTTACAGCCGAAGACGCGCAGTTTGAAATGGACATCTGACGGACGCCCGCTGGAGGACAGGGGCGCCGTCCTCACTCAGCTGTGTTTGATTTCAGATTTGTTCTGGAAAAAAGAACAAAAAAACGTTTTACTTTTTGGAATACAGAAATCTGTATTCAAATGTTGTACTTTTATAAAAACAAAAAGACAAAAAAAAACTGAAAAAAAAAAAACGACAATAGCTGATGCATAACAATGTTTTTCACTTTGATGCCACTTGGCTTTGTATGATATGAGACATATGACAAGCAAGTCAGCTTTGTGGGGAAAATAAATGTTTTATAAGTTATCATGAACAAAATACCATTTTGTGATTATATTTATCATAATGAGATGTTTTTTTTTTTTTGCACCTTAGCTGTCCTTTAGCTATAGAAGGCGGTGGCTGGATCCCAAAAAGAGGCAGCCTTCTGTGTTTTTTTATTTTTATTTTTTTCTCAGAATAGCAGTACCAGAATTCCGCCACCAGGGGGCAGCAGACACAAACTGCAAACACCATCCATCCATCCATCCATCCATCCATCCATCCATCCATTCTCCTCCGCTTATCCGGGGTCGGGTCGCGGGGGCAGCAGCCGGAGCAGGGAAATCCAGACTTCCCTCTCCCCGGCCACTTCGGCCAGCTCCTCCGGGGGGATCCCGAGGCGTTCCCAGGCCAGCCGGGACACATAGTCCCTCCAGCGGGTCCTGGGTCTTCCTCTGGGCCTTCTCCCGGTGGGACGAGCCCGGAACACCTCCCCAGGGAGGCGACCAGGAGGCATCCTGAACAGATGCCCGAGCCACCTCAACTGGCTGCAAACACTGAGCCTTATTTAGGCTGTAAACAACTCTCTACTACACACATTCATCAAGCCTTAGTGTGTTATTAACCGCCTACGTTGGTTGGTGAAATGGCTTCACTACAGAATTGATGGACTGAAAAGGAAAATTCGTTCCATTTATTCTTCCAAGCAATGGACAATGGGGGCAGCATTCAGAAGCTGCCACTGCTCACCTAACTGGCATTTACCGTTATGGTTAGCTGTATTAATTCCTCCTGTGCTTTGTCTCACTAAAGCGACAGATAAACATGATATATGCCAAACGGAAATGAGATAATCTGATGACTCAGCATTGTCATCTTTCTCAGTTTTACGGACTTGTTTAGAACAATAGAAATGAATCTTTATCTAATAGGATTTGCATGAATGTCTTCAGTGAGAGGGAAATTGAGTCTGCAAGCAAAGTCTGAGTAGTGAATCAGATCAGTAAATGTTCTTACAAGCACGTGTAGTGATGTTTTTAAAAAAGAAAACACATCAAACAACTTTGTATCAGATATGAGATAGTTTATTCTATAATCGTACAGAGCGAACACACAAGTGGGTCAGTATGACCCAAACATTTCAAAGCATTAACGCTGCTTTTACATTTTGTAAGTCCAGTAAAAACCAAAATGAAATCTTGAAGCGTAAAAAGACCAGTCCGCACAGACGTCGTACAGGGTGTGCAATGCCTTTTTTTTTTTCATTCTTTAGTGCTTTTAGTCAGTGACCACATTGTAGATCCGCCTAGTTCCCTCCGTTAGGCAGCAGTCTTTTTCTTTTTTTTCTCCTTAGCAAGCAGGTATCAGGTTCCTCAGCTATCCACAGTATTTCCTAACCCACATCCCAGCAGGACCTGCGTCAGACTGGAATTCTCCTTTAAAGTGCCTGTGTGTGTGTACACACCCTGTCCGTGCCTATGGGAAGTCTTCAGGTTCTGTGGCTGAAGCTTTTTTTTTAGGGCCCGGAGTCCTGGCCGCGTTTGGGGCTCAGTGGCAGCCGCACTCCTCCACCGCCATGTTCTCGTGATGCCTCATCACCATCTTCCCGTTCTCGAAGTACAGCATGGAGAGGGGCGCCAGGCGCGTGGGCACGCAGGACACGCAGGGCACCCTGTCCGGGTGGTGGAGCTTCAGCAGGCTCTGGAGGGGAGGAGAAGAGCGCCGAATCATTAGAACACACATTAGAAAGACGTTAGACTCCAAATCCACGCGTTAGAATTCATCTTACCTGCATGAAGGCGTGGTTGGTTGGGCTGAGGGTCTCATCCACCGGCAAAGGACAGCTCCCCTCGCAGCGGAAGGCGTTGTACCGTTTGGGGTAGATGATCCACTCGCTCCAGTTGAGCTTCTCAAAGTCCACCCACATGTCCACCTTCCTGCAGAGAGGCCCTCGTCTCTCGTCGTCCGGCCTCCTGCCGGCCAGGGCCGGCTCCCTGTGCCTGTGGTGGGTCCCCCTGTGCCTCTTGTTTCTGCTCCTCCCCCCGGAGGAGGCGGGCGCCGCCCCCTCCCGGTCCAGGCTGACGTACTTGGAGTGCTCGGCCGTGCGGATCAGCGTGGGCGCCCGCCGGCCGCTCGGGCTCTGCCTGGAGTACACCACCATCAGGACCCTGTCGGCCGTGGGGTGCCGGACCCCTCCCCGGCCAGACTGGCCCGTCCCGGCCTCCTCCGCCCGCCCCCCGGAGCCTCCCAGCTGCAGCCAGTGCCGCAGCATCTCCGTCACGTTGAGCACCCTCCAGGAGGAGGAGGAGGAGGAGGAGGAGGAGGAGGAGGCTCTCAGGCGGCCCAGGGGCAGCCCGGTGTCTGGGCAGTCCACGCCGGAGCACGGGTCACTCTCAGAGTGGTAGATGTCCACAGAGGAGGCATTGGCGAAGGCCGGCAGGCGGATGCGAAGCTCGGCCAGCTGGACGTCGTCGCTCGCAGACATGGAGGACAGGTCAAAGGTCACAGACCACCTACTACCCGTCTGCTGGCAACCTGAGAGAAATAAAAACCGATTCAAACGCGTTAGATTTGTTCATGAACTCGTAAATAGTCTGCCATTTTACTTGATTTAAACTCTTTATGTTCAAAGAAATACAAATAAAGGAAGTAGATTTTGTGCATTATGGGGCAGGCCTCAAATTAGTTTAAGATTTTTCAAAAAGTTCCCATTTTAAATCCTGTAAAGCCTTAAAAACTATTCACATAATAAAGGATTTCATGTTTCTGCTGTCCAGTACTCACTCTTTGCCACAAGGCTTATGACTGAGTCGGAGTCGTAGAGGCGGGTGTTCTCCTCCCTCTCCACCTGCTGGACCCTGATGGTCGCAGCTTTCCCCGCTTCTTGGCTCTGCAGGGTCCGGTAGAGCTGCATCATGTAGAGGGGCAGCCTGCCGGCCTGCTGCTGCCGCCGCACGGCGCGCCTGAAGCCGTCGGTCCTACCCATCATCCCCCGGAGCGCTGCGTCAGGGGCCATCCCCCCCGAGGACTGGAGGGAAACACCCAGGGACGCATGCGTCAGGAGAAGAAAAACACACTCCACAGCCAGAAACTTCATGATGCGCAAAAGCGGTGCCGTCGCTTCCATGGGGCAAATCCGAATGCTGCCGGTGATGCTGAGGCTCGGGGTTTATAACAGCCCGCCCCCTTCCCTCACGTCCTTTGAAGTCATCTGTCAAACGGTGATGGCTGATGGCCTGTGTGTGTGATCCATTGGAGCGCTCAAAGACTCAACTGCAACAAGGTCGTTATGGATCGAAACCAACGTGACTTTGTAGTGGCAGAAGCGTGAACAGGAGCCCTCACTGTTGTGTTTGATGTCATAGATTTCTTTGATGAGAAGCTCTGACAGTTCTATTAGTTAAGGAGATTACTGGCTGCGCGCACGGGTTGTGATTAATTGGGCGGACAAGGTAAACTGCAAGTTAATCAGGAAAAATGATGTAACGTTATCCTGTGCTTTGGCATTTGGAACCACAGAAACAAAAAGCAAAAGCACTGTGATGATAAAGTAATTTATAACGGTATGACACAATGACACGTTTCACATTCAATTTGTTTTGTTGAAATGTCCTTTTTTACGCATTCAAAAACGTTCAGTTGAATCGAGTATACCCTGAAACATTCTGCCCAAGCCACTGAATATAGGATCTCCAGATTTTCAATAACTATAACCTAGCCTGAATCAGACTTTTTTTGTTGTTTTAATTTAAAGAAACTCGAACTCGTGTTGAAAACAAACGCAACATCCTTAGAACTCAGTGGAGCTGATTGCTGCCCATTCATGGAACAAATTGCGCACTTGACTTGAAAGAGGAGAAGAAAGAGCAGCAAGCCTTTATTCTTTTGATAAGAAAACTATAAAATATTGACTTTGTACCATAGAAACCTAACTCGATAAAAGTTTTATGTGGGCATGAGGTACACATTTACCTACATTAAGTTTTTAGTTTTATAAGTCACTATTTGCATACAGAATGATTCCATACATACGTAAAAGGTCACTTAAACCAATTCTACGCGTGCGTGCATGTTCCTTTATTATATTAACATCCTGTAAAACTTCAGTGAAAGGGTTCAACTATAGTTAATTGAAATAACGTGAACATTTGGGGAGTGGTTCACGTAGGCTAATTGTTTCGCTGTGAGGTGACTCTCTGCGCCTGCGCCAAATTGAAAAAAGAAATAAAAAGCATCTAACAATGTCTTTATACAAAATGTGTTGGCATTATTAACACTCTCAAACCCGCAATTGGCTTGAAAATATTTGGAGTGACACTGTATTTAATTTCCGTTCCTTTGCGCCTGTTCGGAAACAGTCCGCAATCACGTGCGCACCTGGCGCAGTGGGAGCGGATTAAAGCCCTCCTCTCAGCTGACCTGTTTGTTCAGATGAGCAGCGCGGGCCGACATGGACCTGCGCCTGTTCATTTGTTGCGTTTTTCTGGCGTGTCATGGAGTATCTAGAGGTAAAGCAGATTCTTTCGTTTGGTTTTATACGCGATTATGAATGACAACTAATCCAACAACGCGCCGGAATTAAGGTTTTTTTTCATCGTTAAAACGAGCCTTTTGGAACCCAGTTACTCTCACTTTTCGTGTTAGCCTCAGTGACTGTTCGATCCAAAATCGTGGACCTTATTCAAATTTCTGAAGTTTAATCTCATAAATTTAGCTTAATTGACTTTGCAGACGGGCATCTGTGTTGTGAGGCTTCATTCAGAAGTGTGAACTGCCCACTCTGTTTGAGTGCTTTGCATTAAAGTACATATTTTCAGATGATTGAACTCAAAAGATGGAATTCCCTCAATTCCCTTTCATCTAAATGATAGATGAAAAGGAATTAACTTTTTATGTTTTGTTCATACCCCTTTTGTTTCCATGGCCCGAAGATATGAGGCCACCTTATTGGCCCCTTTGAGCCTTGACTTTGTGTGTGACATTTTACAGGCCACCTTCTAGGGCAGGGTGGCAAACTCCTCAGGTTTTAGAGATTTCCCTGTTTTAATACACCTGATTCACATCATAGAACTGTTAGCAGACCGGTGCAAAGCTCAACAATGTCCAAAGGAGATCCACTTTAATCCGAATCAGGTGTGCAGAAGCAGGGAAATGGCTAAAACCAGCAGGTCAGCGGCCCAAAGAGGACTGGAGTTTGAAAGCCCTGTTTTAGGGTTTCTTTATAAATCTAGTGGCTCACAGCAAGCAACAATTCTGTAGATTTAGTAAATTAAAGATTTGAACCATAGTTTACTTTAACTGTTGACTGAACTGAAAAAATATAACATACAGCTTTGACCAACTGGTAATTTCCAACCGGCTTTAATGGATTTGAATCTGACTTAATCTCACCAATGTGCAGTGGAAATTAACTTGAATCATGTCAAAGTCAAGAGTATATTGTGGATCATCTTTAATTTTGGCCTCATGAGAATTTTTCCATTTTGCTCCAAAAAAAAAAAAAATCATGTGTACTTTGAACCCTTTAAATAGCCTCTGTCTCTTATGGTTTGTCAGGCCAACTCTTTAGGTGCCCTAAAGGCCAGTGGCAGTGTGACGATGGGAACTGCATCACTGAGGTCTGGAGGTGTGACGGCCAGGGAGACTGTCTGGACGGATCTGATGAAATGGAATGCACTAGTAGGCCTTTTCTTTGCCGCTTTGCTTTCTCTTCTTGGTTAAAGGTCTGGGGGGAAAATGAGCCTTTTTTTTCTTCTCCTTAGCGCTCTCGGGCTCAGAGTGTCCTCTGGGCCAGTTTCCGTGTCTGGGTTCCGTGGGCTGCGTCGCCGCGTCGGCTCGCTGTGACGGACGCAGCCAGTGTCCATCTGGTTCCGATGAGGAGAACTGCCCTCCCGTAGAGGGCTGCCTGGACTCCGACTGGACGTGCCGAAACGGCATCTGTGTCCCCAAAGAGCTTCGCTGCAACGGACGAAACGACTGCATGGACAACTCTGATGAAGCGGACTGTGGTGAGAAAAGCGGCAGGTTGAGTTCAGACTCTGTAACTGTGCAACTCCCTCAGAAGTCCTGCAAGTGCCAGAACTTTTAATGCAAACCTGATTTCTGTTCGCAACCTACAGGACAGAAATCCATGCATTTTTGTGCCTAGTTGTTGATCTAAATCTGAAATTTATATTCTCAAATTCTTGTCCTTCTTTAAATTCAAACTGGGTCCTTTTTAAACATAAACTTAAAGACTTTTTATTGATAGGTCAGACATGTGGACATTAATAATCTAACTGTCCTGATCTTGTATCTGTGGTGTTTTAGTGTGTGATTTGTTCTGTTGTGTACAGTCACTGTGTTTTGTGTAAAAAAAAAAGAAAAAAAAAAAACCTAACTGGGAACAGGCATTGAGAATTAGCCTTAGCTAAAATGTTGTAGTGTGTGACATGTTTCATGAAACATACTTGTCCCTATCAAACGAATAAATAAATTAACCAATTTAATACAGATCTATACAAGATTACAGAAAAATCTGAAAAATTGTCAGCATTTGTTCAGAGTTCTCCTTGACTTTTATGCAGATCTGACAAAAAGGGGGGTAAAAAGCTATTCACTGCCATGTGGTAGGTAGAGCTACCTACTATCTACATATAGAGTTTAAATACTTCAGTTTTGTTTTTTTTCTTTCTCAGGTCTGTGCCGTGAGGGCGGGGTCCGGTGTCCTGAGGGGACCTGTCTGCCTGCAGAAGAGAGGTGTGACGGGCAGATTCACTGCTCTGATGGCAGTGATGAGCCTTTAACCTGTGGTGAGCTTACAACGGCCGGGCTGCAGAAACGCACACCCACTCTCACAGAAGTGCATTTATTTCTCTGGTGCTAAATATTGTGCCCTCTGCAGGTCGCATCTGCTCCATGAACAACGGCGGCTGCAGCCATGTCTGCACTGATGAATCTTGGGGAACTCGATGCATCTGTCCCGTCGGATACGAACTCGCTCCCAACGGGACGGTCTGTCAAGGTGTGAGAGCATGACACTTTTGTGGTTTTGTTGTTTAAACTCAAAATGAATGTCAATATAAAATGTTTTTTTCAGATGTTGATGAATGTTCATCGGGTGTTGGGCCCTGTTCACATCTCTGCACCAACACCATGGGATCCTACTACTGTGGCTGCAGAGAGGGTTTTAAACTTCAGGACGGCTCCTCATGTCGGGCTTCAGGTCAGGCTTTTGCCAAGCTATTAAATCTGTGGTTGACATGCCCCCACATGATCTGTGTTTTCCACCGAGTTGTTTGGTAGAAACCAAAACTTATCTGTTCTGAGCAAGAACAGATAAGATTCTGTATTGGCTTTCATCCATCAAAGTTTAGCTTGGAGAAGAGGCATTAGGGCTATTAAACAAAAGATGGCTGCCAAAAAAGGAAGCTTTGATGTGGATTAACTTTAAACAGCAGGTTCTGTTTGAGGATTAATGAAGATGATGGGGCAATTTGCATGTAAATGAGATGTTTGCATAAATGTATTAAGAATTTCATGAACATTTATTTCTGTCTTGATGTATTGCCACACCAGACCAAATTAAGATGATTCACATTTTCATACTGGTACATTATACTATATATTTTCAGTTTTAACTAATAGGTTAATACAGTTGCATATCCCCCATCTCTTTAGTGATTGTCTAAAATATTACACATGGCTAATTGTTTTTTGCTACTAAGAACATTCTTTTTTAGAGCTTTTGCATGTAAATGATCTTGCCAAATGGATTTCAAATATTATTTTTCCCCTCTTAATTGATCAGGCAATGTTACCAGATTGCTGATGGTGCAGAGGAACTCCATTGGACTGTTGAATGTTAAATCCCAACAGTTCAACAGCATCAAGACTTCGGTGTCTGACCTAGTGGCCTTAGCTTTTGATATTGCCAGAGGTTGGTACTACTGGGCTGATAGCGGTGGCAGCATTTATAAAAGTGATGGGCATTACAGCTGGACAGCCTACACTGGTTAGTTCAGCCAATTTTTTTTTTTTTTTTTAATTGTTCACATTTTGATCAAGCTGGAGAATGGAAAAAAAATTAAAAACAAATTGCTGTTTACTCCAACAGGAGATCCTGGAATCAAAGGCCTTGCCTGTGATTGGCTAAATGGATACCTGTTCTGGACAAATAAGAAGACTGAATCAATCTATATGCAGGCAGCAGATGGGAAAAGTTTCACAACTCTGCTGAATAAGAATGTCAGGCCCTCAGAGTTGGTGATTCTACCTACTGAGAGGTACGATAGTGTTCTGTCCAGCAAATATGGACTGTTCCCAAATACAAGATGGATGGATAACTTAAAGTTTTTTTGCTTATTCATATAAAATCTTACAGCCGAATGTTCTGGATCAATGATGGTCCAGGAAACAGAGTGACAATAGAGAAGTCCTGGATGGACGGATCAGATAGAAGCTCTCTTGTGGTCATCACTGTGGAGTCTGCCCACAGCCTGACCGCTGATGTCGCTGCCAGGAGGCTGTACTGGATCAGCAACTTCAAAAGGGTACGTTTCCATTTCGAGCTTATACACAAGATGGCAGCATGAAATCTGTTTGCACACACTGCTTACTAGCAGGCATGTTGGAATACATGTCGAGTCAAGAGAATTTTTGGCCTTTGAGAGGGCATTGCAAAAGTTTTAGATAGCGTTGGTAAATGCAAGATTAAAAATGTCTAGTGGTACACCCAGAACTGATCTATTTAGTGGCCCTTTTTCTTTTTACTTGCTGACTTTCCTAAACTGTCCTTCCTAAATTTGTCTCTCAGTCCATAGAGACTGTCAAGGTGGATGGAACTGGCCGGTATTCTTCCCCAGGACTCTTTAACAGGAGACCCGCTCTGAGCTTGGCTGTGTTTGAAAGCATCTTCTACTGGGTTGACAACAAAGGACTGTGGCAGGTTCCACAAAACCAACCAACTCAAAGGAAATTTATGTGGAAAATGGAACCGACGCTGTTGGCCGTCTACCATGACCTGCAACAGCCTCAAGGTACTCTGCAGATGCAATGGTGGTCAATGACTTGCTTGTGATGTAGCCCGTCATTTGCCGTTCTAAATCTTTGTTTAGCTACATGATTCGTTGCATCCACTTTAAATGTGGCACCATTTGAAATATTTTCACAAATTTAAAGGAATCTTTTAATGGCTTAAAAAAAAGTCTTTAAACATAAGCATTTAGCATAACTTCATGTCCTGTGTTACCAGGGTCCTCTGCCTGTGAAAATACCCCATGTCCACTCTGCCAACTGACCAAAAGCAACCCTGTGGGATTCACCTGTGCTTGTCCAAACTTCACAGTACTGTTACCTGATGGGAGTTGTGAATGTAATACTTTTTTTCAAAAACAATTTTCCCCGGACTCTCTTGCCAGTGTGATTAGTTCTCACTTGTGAGGGGGTTTGTAGCAGTAGATCATTTTTAATTGCTTTTGTCTTTTCACCCTCTACAGATCCACGATTCATCTATGCTACCATGACCGCCATCGGCTTATTGGAGTTCAGAAGGAGAGGGTCTACAGAGACGGAGCTGTTTACAACAGATGATGGAATCCTGTCGTTTGATCTTGACTGGTACAGAAACTGGCTGTACTGGACCAACCAAACTGGTCACATTCAACGGACCAGTTTAACTCTGGTCAAGTCGGAAGTCATTCCAGCACCGATGCCGGGTTGGTGCTTTATTCCCCGTTTCTAAATACCCTCGTATTTGTTGTAACTTCCATGCTCTTCAAAAAAGCCTCACTTTCGTTTTGTTTTTATTAGTTTGCCAGATAAATGTGGACCAGAGGAATGGAAACATCTACTGGGTGTCCTGTGATGAAAGCAGCATCGGCACCACCACCCTGGGCAATAACTACTCAAAGCGGCTGTACCACACAACCGGGGAGATCCGCAGCTTGTTTCTGGACTGGCTCAGGGGTGGGATATTCTGGCTGGAGGACGAGCGAATCTTCAGCATGGAGATGTTTGGAGGCAAAGCGAAGGAGCTGCTGCAAATAGCAGGAGGGGTCAGGGGCGGCATTGCCTTTGACCTCAGGGCCGGCAGTCTGCTCTGGAACTCCAAAAGAGCAGGTTGGTGCCATCTGGAGAGCAGACGGACTAAGTTTAGTTTGGTATGCTCAGGAGTGTAGCTTACCACAGCCTGATTGACAGCTGAAGCTCTTGTGAGGAGACATTTTGTAAATGACATGATCACCATTGTTTTTTTTCTTTTCTTTTTTACAAAGTTGTTTTTTACCCCTCAACTGTACAGGCTATCTGGATGTAGCTACAGAGTTACAGATTTACATTTCTGCTCTTTTTTTCCTTCTTTGTAGGTCTGACAACAGTAAGTTTACTACTAGAGAGAAGTCACCAGGCAGGAAAAAGATGGAATGTTTCCGGTTCCATTGTGGCTGCATTTGAGCCCTACATGATGTCCAGTTCTGATGACACGCTGACTCTGTGGGACCGGCGTGACGGCAGCCCCATTCGGGACATGGCCGTCAAAGGTCCCGTGTTGAGTGTCATTCCTGCACTTGGGGACATTGAAATGGGTGAGACATATTCAATCTATTCTTTAAAGAAAGCGTGTCCTCAGATGCCATTTAGTTTTTCAGTTATTTAAAGCACTTTAACATAGGTTTGAATAAATTGAAGCTAGGTTTTAATTTTCATTTCTAATGAAAAAAAAAAAGTACCATGGTCTTTACAACTTAAAAAATTACCAGCATAGCTACACAGTTCCTTCCTTTGAAACTAAACCATCTCCAGTCAAAACGGCAAGTGTCAAGCTAACTTTTAAAATCAGGCAGAGCAACTGACTGGTACAGTTTTTATAAAGCAGTGTAGTCTCAGACCTTGGCGCTTATTTACCACATGTCTCATTCACCCATACTTGGAATTTTCTCAAGGAATTCTCATATTTTTCCGTAGTTCCTGATGCTCCAGAATGCAATTTACCATCTTTGTTGTGCCGGCAATCTTCAGTCTGCCTCCCACAAGCTGACATCTGCAACGGGAAGAGGGACTGTCCAGAGGGAGACGATGAGGAGTTTTGTGTTGTCACGTGTCCGTCTGAAGGTAAAGTGTGGGGAGAGGATGCTTTCATACTTCCCATCCATAATGTTAAAGACGTGGTGTTTTTTATATTGTTTTGATGAGAAAAAATTCTGTCTCAGAGGAAATCATGTGCAAGGACCGCAGCCGCTGTATCCCCAGAAGCTCTGTGTGTGACGGCCGCTCCCACTGCCGGGACGGCTCGGACGAAGTGGACTGTCCGACCGTAGCGTCTCCCACAGCTCAGGCCAGCGTCCTGAAATGTCGCAGTGGCTCCAAACTATGCAACGATGGCACAGAGTGCGTTATGTACGGCCACGTGTGTGACGGCGAGGAGGACTGCAAGGACGGGTCTGATGAGCTGGAATGTGGTGAGTGAAGTTTGAATTCCTTTTTTAAACATTTGATCAAATGTCTGAGTTGTGCTCTTGTGTTCAACTTCACACATCGACCGGTGTCAACCTTATCTTTAAGCAGATGCCCACTCGGGTGAGGCGTCGCCCCCTCAGACGGCGCCAGCCTGCAGGAGCCCTTCTGTCCTCTGTCCTTCCTCCTCTGGCCGCCTCTGCATCTCTCCCAGCCAGCTGTGTGACGGCGTCCAAGACTGCCCGGACGGCTTCGATGAACAAGATTGTATGAAAAATTGTCCCTCGAAATGTAAGGCCCAAATCAGAACGGTTTTTAAAATTTCTAATCGATCACCACAGGTTTTGTTTGACTAAAGTGAAATTTTTCAATGAATTTTCTTGCAGCCGATTTCCTCTGCATAGACCGTCTGAGCTGCGTATCCAAGAGCTTGCTTTGTGACGGCCGGGCCGATTGTCGCGACGGCTCTGATGAAAGGGACTGCTCGTACTCGAATAATGCGAAAGAGGTCAAACTGAAATGTGGGTTTGGGTCAAGACCGTGTCGGGATGGGACGGGATGTGTCCTCCTGAGCCACATCTGTGACGGTGAGAGAGACTGCAGAGATGGGTCGGATGAGAAGGAATGCGGTAAGTAATTGTTTTTTCAGCAATAAGAAATAGTTTTTCATCTTCAAGGCGACAGATTCAGATTTTTGTCCTTTTTCTGTTCCTCCCTGTGAGCACCATTGTGAATTTGGCAAGATGACTTGTCATTTTTGACATTTATCTATAATCTGTTCTGTTTATAGATGGTTTAGAGGATGTCACACCCATCCCTTCCACCAGTCCACCATGCGTAAGGCCATCGGTTCTGTGTCCGGGATCCTCTTTGTGCATCAAACCAGCACAGATGTGTGACGGAAGGAGAGACTGTCCAGATGGGTCAGATGAAAAATGTATAAAAAGATGTCCCTCTCAGAGTAAGTGCTTCAAGATGTTACTACTGCGAACGTAATCCTCAACTTGTCTACTGATAATAATCTAAATTCCAGTTGTGTACATGTAAATATTTAGGGTTAAAAGGGGTACACTTGTCTAAAATGGTGTATTTTACTTTTGGCAGCTGACTTCCGCTGCAAAGACCGTCTAAGCTGCATTTCAAAGAGCCAAGTGTGTGACGGCCGCTCCCACTGCAGCGATGGTTCTGATGAGGTGGACTGTCCGGATGTTTCTCCCACTTCAACCACCACCAGTGTTCTGAAATGCCGCTTTGGCTCCAGGCCGTGTAAAGACGAGTCTGCCTGTGTGCTCTTGAGCCACATTTGTGATGGAGACAGAGACTGTCGAGATGGTTCAGACGAAGAAGAATGTGGTGAGGATTTATTCAAATGATTTCTTTTTTTTTTCCACAACCGTAAACAAATCTGCATTTTAAATTAAGTTTGTTTCTAGATGTTGTAGGGAGTGTTACTACTTCGGCTAAAAATGAGGACTTGGATCAGTTTCTGCCAGTGACGGCAGTGACTCCACCTCCCACCAAACCGCCGTGCATCAGGCCATCAGTTCTGTGTCCGGGCTCCTCTTTGTGCATCAAACCAGCACAGATGTGTGACGGAAGGAGAGACTGTCCAGATGGATCAGATGAAAAGTGTATAAAAAGATGTCCCTCTCTGAGTAAGTGGTTGGGGGATGCTTTAGCTGCGATATTGACCCTTGAGTCTTAAAACGGGGTGGACAACTCTGGGCATCAGGTTGTAGAGGTTTCCCTGCACCTGATTGAGATTAAATAGATCTCTTTTAAAGATTAAGCACAGCTGTTTTGATGTGGATCAGGTGTGTAGAAGCAGGGAAACTTCAAAACCTACAGGATCGGGGCCCAGAGTTGCCTACCCCCGCTTTAACAGTTTAAAAGCTGAGGGGGTATTATATCAAATTTCCCCTTTTTTTTTTTTTTATTAAAGCACATTGAGTACTTTAGTAAATTGAAACTTGGAGGTTGTCAAACTGAATATAGATATGCTCCCACCCCCAGCCGACTTCCTCTGCAAGGACCGTCTGAGCTGCATCCCGAAGGCTGTGGTGTGTGACGGCCGCTCCCACTGCAGCGATGGCTCCGATGAGGTTGACTGTCCAAATGTGACCCCACATGTTCCTCACAAAGAGGACCTGAAATGTCGCTTTGGGTCCCGGCCGTGTCGGGACGGAACGGCATGCGTCCTGCAACGTCACATTTGTGATGGCGAGAGAGACTGCCCAGATGGCTCGGATGAGGAAGAATGTGGTGAATATTGAAGAGTCTTTTTTTTGTTTTGTTTTTCCATTTACTCTGACCATGAAATTACGATGGTATATTTTGAACTTCCCCATTCTTGTTTATCTAGAAAACGAGACCCTGAATGATATTCCTGCACCCATCCAGCTATTTACTCAGCCCCCTGCCAAGCCATCATGCGTCAGCCCTTCAGTTCTGTGTCCGGGCTCATTTTTGTGCGTCAAACCAGCACAAATGTGTGACGGAAGGAGAGACTGTCCAGATGGATCGGATGAAAAGTGTATAAAAAGATGTCCCTCTCTGAGTAAGTGACTGGAGGACGTAATCACCTCTTATTTTACCCACCATATCATTTGACGAGCGAAGAAGCGAACGGAATTGAGATGAAATCCTATAAATGGGAAGCGTATGAAGCAAAGTGGGGGAACGGTTCCACTCCCGTCTAAATATTTCCTTCTCTACAGCTGACTTCCGCTGTAAGGACCGTCGAAGTTGCGTCTCAAAGAGCCAGGTTTGCGACGGCCGCTCTCACTGCAACGATGGCTCTGATGAGGTGGACTGTCCAAGCATGACTCTCCCCGCGTCCCCGGAAAACGTCTTGAAATGTCGCATGGGCTCCAGACCGTGCCGGGATGGCACCGAATGCGTCTTCTTCAAGCATATCTGTGATGGAGAGGAGGACTGTCGAGATGGCTCGGATGAGGAAGGATGTGGTGAGCATTTGTACTCTGTCATTTTCAAAACATTTTCAAGTATTTACTATTTGATTTTTTTCATTAACGTTTACACCTTTTTTTTGGTGTAATGTTTTCAATGGTGCAGAGGATGCCACACTCGCGCCCCCCACCCAACCGCCGTGCATCAGGCCATCGGTTCTGTGTCCGGGCTCCTCTTTGTGCATCAAACCAGCACAGATGTGTGACGGAAGGAGAGACTGTCCGGATGGATCGGATGAAAAGTGTATAAAAAGATGTCCCTCTCTGAGTAAGTAGTGTGAGGATGTAACGGAACTCAACTTCTTCTGGGGGGGGGTGTGCCCATAGCAAAATGGGGTTAACCCATTTAAGTTTTCTGTAGCTGTCTGGATTTCCTGTTTTTTAATCTCCACAGCCGACTTCCTCTGCAAAGACCGTCAGAGCTGTGTGTCCAGAAGCCAGGTGTGCGACGGCCGCTCCCACTGCAGCGACGGTTCTGATGAGGTGGACTGTCTGGATGCCGCTCCTCTGGCCACTCGGACTGTGTTGAAATGTGGCATGGGCTCCAGACCTTGCCAAGATGGCACCGAATGTGTCCTGTACAGTCATGTCTGTGATGGGGAGGAGGACTGTCAAGACGGATCGGATGAAGAAGGCTGTGGTGAGAATGAGGGATTTAAATTTATGAAATGGGGAAATGCAAGTTAATTGGATAGCTTATTTTGTGTACAAGACAATTGAAAGTGATTTTAAATGAGTGAACATTTTGTTCAGGTTAGGATTTTCTTTTCCCCCACAGATGCAACAGAGGGGACCAAAGAGCCTCTCTCACCTAACACACCTTCCTGTGACTTCCCCTCAATCCTGTGTCCGTACTCTGTCATATGCATAAGCCCAGCACAGTTATGTGACGGGATAAAGGACTGCCCCGATGGATCTGACGAGAACTGTGTAAAGAAGTGTGCTGATAAGTGTAAGTCATCACTCCAGAACTTTTAAAACTTTTTTTCCCTATGACTGGTTGTGATTCTTAAATTTTGATTTATACCTTCCTCAACAGCCGACTTCCTCTGCAAGGACCGCAGGAGCTGCGTCTCGAGGAGTCTGGTTTGTGATGGACGTTCTCACTGCCACGATGGCTCCGATGAGATGAACTGCCAGAGTGTCACTACTCCGGCACCTCAGGCCGATGTCCTGAAGTGTCGCTTGGGGTCAAAGCCATGCGAGGATGGCAAAGAGTGCGTTTTATACAGCCACATCTGTGATGGGGAGAGGGACTGCATGGATGGATCTGATGAACAGGGATGTCAAGAAACATGCAAACAAGGTGGGTTTTCAATGGAACTCTTTTTTTTATTTCTCCATTTTTATAACCTTTTTTTCTAGAAATCTTAAGATAAGAAAAAGATTGAGGGGACCCTGATGTGTATAGATTTGAACTACAGAAGACATGGTGGCAATGTTGAGTGCTCTAATGGTCAGTCTTACTGTAGTTTCACTGACACACTTGTACCTTTTGACTGTAATCCTCCTCAGGCGAGTTTCAGTGTGCCCATGGGAAAATGTGCATCCCTGAAGCGGAGGTGTGCGACGGGAAATCGCAATGTCGAGACCAGTCGGATGAACTGGACTGCTGGGAAAAAACCAAGAGCTGTGAGCACCGCTGTGGTGACGGCAAGCGCTGCATCCCAAAGACATTCCTGTGTGACGGAGAGAAGGACTGCCTCGACGGCACAGACGAAATGGGCTGTGGTAAGGTTTAATCACTTAATCAAGTTTTTTTTTTAGTTTTTTTTTTTTTATTCATCAATAAGATTTTCTAACACCCCTATAGGGTGAAAACAGGCTGTGAAATTGTATGACAGAAAGAAGCTTCTCCTAATTAGAATGATTCCTAATTAATATTCTGCTTATCTATGGATATATTGTCTTTTTTTCTTTTTTTTTTTTAAAGTGTCATTAGACTTGGCAATCAACCTGTTCAATGTTTTTGTGGGTTGGTGTATCTCTCCTTTTTTTAGACCCCAGTGTTACTGGAACAGGATCTACCATTCCCAAAGCCACATGCATCACTCCCTCTGTTCTTTGTCCCGGCTCGTTGCTGTGCATCACTCAAAATCAGTTGTGTGATGGGAAGGAGGACTGTCCCGATGGATTTGATGAAGGAGACTGTGTGGATAAATGTGAAAATCCAGGTAAGTCTAGAAGCCAGAATAAGAACGGGTTATGAACGTGAAATGTAGTAGTTTGACTCGAATGTTTTGGGGTTTTTTTTCCAACCCCCCCCCTTCCCTTCAGATGATTTCCTGTGCAATGACAAGAGGAACTGTGTCCCAAGAATGCATGTGTGCGACGGCCGTTCCCACTGTCTCGATGGCTCCGATGAGAAGCAGTGTCAATCATTGGAACTCACTCCAACTTGTAAGCTAAGGGAAATTCAATAACGTTTAGTAGCTAAATCCCAGAAACTGGGTTACAGCACTTCTGTTAAGAAATCAATGTTAACATCCAATAGTCTCCATGTACTGTTTAACATACTGATTTCAGTGGCCACCAAACAGAAATACTTTTTTTGTAATTTATTTATTTTTAGCCACACTTGAAATCCAACAAAAACAATTAACATTTATTGTTGCATACTTTTAGTGATTGATGCTCTTTCCAATTTTTTTTTTTTTTTTTCTTTCCCGACAAAGCTACTAGCAGCCCAAAGTCGGGTCCATTGAGGTGCAGTAAAGGTTTAAAGTTGTGTAAAGATGGCCTGGAGTGTGTCTTGTACAGCCATGTGTGTGACGGCGAGAAGGACTGCAAGGATGGGTCGGATGAGGAGGAATGTCAGAGTCGGTGCAAAGCAGGTTTGTGTGACACTTGAGCTTGGGGGGGGAAAGGCAGAAATGAATGGGGGGAAAACTGTCTTATCCAGACCAGCAAAGAGGATTGGAGCATTTTTCTTTCTCCCCATCTTTCTTTATCTGCTCTGAAGGTGAGTTCGAGTGTGCGCATGGGAACAGATGCCTGCCACCGGAGCAGGTGTGTGATGGACAGTACGACTGCCGGGATCGCTCGGACGAAGCCGACTGCTCGGATGTGACCGAGAGCTGCCCCCAGCGCTGCGACAACAACACGCGCTGCATCCCAAAGACCTTCCTGTGTGACGGCGAAAGGGACTGCGCCGACGGGTCGGACGAAGAGAAGTGCGGTGGGTGAACTTCAGCATTCCTCCCCGGAGTGACCCTAAACGCCACAAACGTGTCCCCACGCACTAGCAGATGCATGTTCCCGATTTGCCTCCCTCCAGGTGCGGTGGCCTGCGCGCTCCATCAGTTCCGCTGTGCCAGTGGCCAGTGCGTGTCCGAGGCTCTGCGGTGCGACGGGTATCCCGACTGTACTGACCGCTCGGACGAGGTGGGCTGCAGGAGGCCTCCCCGCTGCCCGGCGCAGCTCCAGTGCCCACACAGCCACGAATGTCTGCAGAAAGAGTGGCTGTGCGACGGCGAAAAAGACTGTAACGATGGCTCCGACGAGAAGGTGAGACCCAGATGAAGGGGACCGAAACGGGCAAAAGCGGGGCTTGGAAGGACTGCGGTCATGCTAACTGTCGGCTTTTTTAAAAATCTAGGACTGCCACACCCCTCCAGTAAAGTGTAGGGCGTACCAGTGGCAGTGTGGAGACGGCCACTGTGTTCCTCTGTCCTGGAGGTGTGACGGAAAGGAGGATTGTCTCGATGGCACGGATGAAGAGAAATGTGAGCATGTTTAAAAAATAAATGAATAAAAAATGTAAATGTATAGCCAGCACTTATTGGCTGGTTGTATATTATAACGACTTATTGGCCTCTGGGTTTGCTCTAACATAGTGTGAAAAATCCAAACATTTTCAGTTAAAATGTTTTCTTTATTTGTTTAGTTTTTAAGGGTATCTTTACCTAAATCTGTGTGCTTAACAGGTACCCAGAAAAAATGCCCCCTTCACCTTTATCAGTGCGGCAGCGGAGAGTGTGTGGACCCCAACATGGTGTGCAACGGCCTCATAAACTGTGCCGATAGCTCGGACGAAGGTGGTGAATGTGCTAAACACAACTGCTCCAGCTCCCCAGCCCCTCGGTGTGCCCAGCACTGTGTCAGCACCCCAAATGGTCCGGTAAGAGCCTGCCAGGAAGCATGACTTTGGACACTGAAACGACAAACGTAACACATTCTAAAAATGGGGGACTAAGGGAATTGGAGGAAAAAGGACTTTTTTTTTTTTCTCTTCAAAATGTTTCCTCTTTCTCTCAGAGGTGTTACTGCGCAGCAGGCTTCTTACCGGAGTCCATCACTGGATCCTGCGTGGACATAGACGAGTGCAGTTTGGTATCAGACGCTGTGTGCAAACACACTTGCCTGAACACCCACGGATCCTACCGCTGTAACTGCCACCCCGGCTTCTACCTGGAGCCCGACAACCAAAGCTGCAAGACAAAAGGTGAAGTTGGACCGTGCACACACTCTGCTTCAGGAAAAGGCTGTGTTCTGTTGTCTGTCAGGCGAATGCGCTGTACCCAAGCTGAATGTTGGGTAGTTTAATTTCTCGTGAAACCACTTGGACTCAACTTTGGAAAATGAGTCTTCCTAAACCAGAGACTGGAGTGGTTCTGTACATGATCGACTCCAGAAGTGAAACTCTATGCTATTTGCTAGTCCACTAACAGCTTGTGGTCATGTTTCCACCTCTAGATGAGCCTTTGCTTCTGGCGTCGGTGCAGTCTGAACTGTTGCTGCTCGGGGTCCAGAGCAGCAACCTGCAGATTCTCTCTTCTGTTAACCGGCCAGTCTTCTCTCTGGACTATCACTGGGCTGAACAGCGAGTGTACTGGCTGAGCCCTGAGTACCAGAGCATCCGCTGGACCGACATGAAAAACTCAAAGAAAGGGACGCTGATGAAAGGTACCCTCTCTTTTGGGTAGATTGTCATTGATCTCGCTTGTTTTTGAAGATGTGCACTAATCAGCAGAACTGGATTTGAAGTATTTATGCATTTGTTTCCTCTTTAAAATTCACTTCGTGTTTTGTAATGATGCTGTGGTCCTAACCTTTTTTTTTTTTGTAGGCATAAAGTCAGATTCCATAGCGGTGGACTGGGTTGGAAAGAACCTGTACTGGGTGGATGGGATGGTGGGACAGATTCTGGCGGTGAAACTTGGCAATGCCATGACGAGGTCTGAGGACTGCACCGTGGTTCTGGGGGAGAACCTTGAGCAGCCGAGCTCACTGGTCCTGCTGCCGGACAGAGGGTAAGGCCGTTGCGACGATTGCGAGGACAAGATGAGGTTCTGAAGAGGGAAGTGCATCCTTTCAGCACGGCGTAACTGTGTTCAGGTTGATGCTTTGGTCAGAGATGGGCAGCACCCCTCAGATCGAGCAGTCCGGGATGGACGGCTCAAAGAGGAGGGTGGTGGTGAGCAGTGACCTGAGGTGGCCAGTCAGTCTGGCCTATGATCGCCTGGACAACAGGGTTTACTGGGCCGATGAGAAGCTGCGCTGCATTGGCTCTGCAACTCTGGATGGACAAAACATCAAGGTGAAGGGAAATTTGAATCAACTGCAAGCCATGTGAAATCTTTCATGATTTATTTCTCACTGCAGATTTCTTTTTTTTGTTAAAAGCATCTTTTATCTGTTCACAATAATACAAAGGGTTTATTCAGAAATCTACAATCTATAGATTGTCAATAGTGTCTTTTTGTCCCCCCACATCAGATCCTCCAGATGGCTGAAACTCCAAGCCCTTTCTCAGTGGCAGTCTTCAACGATCATGTTTTCTGGTCGGACACGAAGAGAAGAACTATCCGATCGGCCAACAAGAGGACTGGGAAAGATCAAAAGGTTCTTCTCAAGAGACCTGGGCAACCCTTTGGATTGAAAGTGAGTATCTTTCCATCCCAAACTGTCTCGAATATTAAAATGTTGACTTGGAAATGAGGTGTTTTGGTCTGGTATCTCGGACACTGGCGCGGCTGGAACGCTGAACTTTTATGCTCCTTTTCTCCAAAGGTGATGCATGCAGTCTCCCAGCCAACGGTGCCCAGCCCTTGTGATTTCATACGCTGCTCCCATCTCTGCCTCTTGGCCCCAACAACAAGAGGACAGTCTGGAGCAGCCGGATCCCCGGCAGCACCTGCTGCCGTCTGTCGCTGTCCGAAGGGGCTTCTTCTGTCTCCGGATAAAATCACCTGCACTCCGCCAAAGGAATCCTCATTCATTATGCTCTTGTCCTCCGACACAGTCTATCAGGCGAGTGTTCAAGCAGCCTGCAGTCAGTTGTTCAGTTTGTTGTTGGTAGTTGTACAGTTTCCAAAAGCATCTCAAGAAAAATGGAGGAATCTAATGAATCCTTCCTGGTCTTAATGCTTGTTTTTAAATGCTTCCATTTGTAGATTTACTTGCGCGCCATGCGTCGTGAAGGCACTTCTCAGAAAAAGATGCCAGTGGGCCGTGATTTTGCCCTCCCAGGAGGCAAAGAGCCCATGGGGTTTGATCTCTCCGTCCCAGAGCTTTCTCTGTTTGTGGCTAATGCGAGGCAAGGATCTGTGGATGTGCAGCGGCTTAGCAACTCGGGGTCAAAACCAGGACTTGCGCTCACAGGACATATATTAAATCTCCAGGTAAGAGTAAGTCGGCTCCTCAGTATTGGAAAGGATGCAATGTCCTCAAACGGCAGATATTCTGCAATCACTTCCATATGCAATGACTGTGGGTCACGTTTAGGTTTTTACAACTCTCATGAATGACTAATTTAGTTCAATGGCAGGCGTCTAATTCTTGAAACCAATGTGCCCTATTCTACAAGGCTGATTCACTCACAGCCTTGGCCGTTGACTGGGTGACTTCCAACCTCTACTGGAGCAGCAACGAGCGGCCCGACATCCATGTGACATCCCGTAATGGCAGCCACACCACCTCACTGCCCCAAGGACCTCTGATGGTGACAAAGCACCACACACATATTCGCTTCAGTTAACTGTACTGTCCTTTTGCTCCCGTCATGTGCAAGGCTCGTCCCTGAATAATCCAATATGTAACGCATACAGGCACAGAGAATGGGGCCCACTGTTCAAACATTCTGTAGAGAACAATTACAAAATTATTTCTTTTTTTCCCTTAGGATCTGGAATGCTTCTTGTAAATAAGATTTTTTTTTTTTTCTTTTTTTTTTTTCAACAGGGTACCACGTCTATTGCACTGCACCCTCCCTCAGGCAGACTTTGCTACAGTGCAGTATTGATGAAAAGTGGACAGAGCCAAACGGAGATAAATTGTGCTTGGATGGACGGCCGCAACAAACAAGTGCTGTGGAGAAAGTCGAGCATACCCCTCTCCCTTGTCTTCTCCAATAAAGGAACGAACCTCTACTGGGCTGACGCTGGTAAAAACAAAAATCTGAATGCTTGTATATGGTTTCTTACTTGTTTTTGCCTGTACACAAACTGCATAACTTTCCTCAGGTGAAGGAGTAATTGGCTCCATTGGCGTGGATGGATCAGGGTACAGAGAGTACAAAACCGGGCCCACTCTGCTCATCTCTTTCACACGTGTGGAAAATATCCTCATTTGGGTCACACGGGAGAAAGGTAAGGATCAAACATGGCTAATGTCAAAGTTGATGCTGCATACCACATTCCACGCAGAGTAAAGATCATTAAACCCTTTAAATTGGTCAGAACCGCTAGCATACAGGTCTATTTCAAAGGGCTCTTGGATGATCATGGGTAAATTGGTTGCCATGAGATGTCATACAAAATCTTTTTCCCGATTCTGTTAAGTTTTCATTATTTTTGTTTTCAGATTTGCTCTGAATCTTTTGAGAAAGCAAACGTGCAACTTTTCAGTTCATTCATTTTCAAAAAGTTGCTATTTCTTGATGAACATTTTTGATTTTCCTATTTTTTTTAAAAGAAATTCTTCTTTTCAACTTGTAGATGTAAACAAGCTATGGTATACTGATGGCCTCCAGCCCAAACAACTTTGGTTTGAGACAAAGAGTATTGTGGTGGAAGTCAGAGCCTACAATAACGACAGTCAGTCTGGTAGGTGTCTTTTTGTCATATCATTCAATGAAAAACTAAATCAGACTAAGGGTCATTTTGCCACTTCACTTGTCCACAAGCATTGTGCAACAAGGAGGTAAGAGGATATGGATTCAAATTTTAACTGGCAACATACCAGATGCATCAGAGAAAAGGTGATGAACTGCCTGACAACTAGATTTAAAAAAATAAATAAAAATTGAGGGGGGGGGGTGGCAAAGTGGAGTTTAACTGTACAAAGTTTGGGTTTGTGAATGATTTTATAACGCACCCAACTGTGGTTGCACCCAAATTTCTTTTATGGGTTGATTCCTACCCAGGTTATAACCAAAAGGCTTGCTCCACTTCATTTGTAGAAGCAAACCAGTTTGCACGTCATCCTGTAGGAATCACAACATGCGCATGCTAACATTCTCACCCCAGCATCAGGTGAAAAGAGCAGAAACTGAAGCCTGATACTTCAACCAGAATAAAAAGGCTCATTTAGACTACACAGAGTCTCAGCTGAACAGATAAGTGATGTGATACCTGCAGGGACTTGGCAGGCATTGGGATCCCATACTGTTGTGTGCTGCTTTGAAAAGGCAACAATGAATGGAGCTCAACTCCAGTCCTGCAATCTCCCTTTTTTTTTCTTCAGTTTTCATTCAAGCCACTGTTATAGGCAGCAAACATGTGTAAGAATATGTTTGAGTCAATGTGCATGTGGATTTAGTCATGCACAACATGTGCACAGATAATCTGGGTGTGGCCACAAAGGCTGCTTTTTTTTTTTTCATTTTCTGGAATACTCTGAAGCTCAAATGGATTAGGCTGTCTAATTCCATTAAGCCAATAACTGCAAACCTGGTCATAGCCATAGTTTACAACGGTAAACACTCAAACATGGTTGGTATTCAGGCTTTCTTCACAGGATAAATTTGAGTCAGTTCTGTGAGGTTATGTTTAAGGAAAATGGCTCCAAATAAAATTGACTTTACATAATTATATCAAGCTTAATCACATGGAAGTAATATTATGATCAATTGGTATGAACTGATTTTTGCATTTTATTCTACATTTTCTGTACCCCACATTTTCTCCAGGAGTAAACGGTTGCTCCAACAACAATGGCGGCTGCATCCAGCTGTGCTTGCCCTATCCTGGAGGCCGCACCTGTAAATGTGGGCGGGGCTTCCACAACGTCAGCTCCACTTCCTGTGCCCCGCTCCCCTCCTGCCCCGCCGGACAGGAGTCCTGCTCCGATGGCAGTGGGTGCATCGCCAGCACAAAGTTCTGTGACGGACACGTGGATTGTCCAGACCAGTCCGATGAACAGGACTGTGAGTGTACACTCATATGGTTAAAGTTTAACTTCATTTTTCCATTTTTCTTTTTAATGAAATCTATTCTTTGGCACTGTAAAACGCATGGCTGGCAGTTGTTTAGACTGGTCTTGATGTTTTAAATTAAGCAGAGGCTGTGAAGTTATGAGCTCTGAAAATTGTTCTAAAATATGCCAATTCATCATTGGCTGCATTTCTGACTCTTATGGGCTGTAATGAGTTTTTGCAGAGATCAGTAATCTCCCTTTAGTTTAATTTGGACATTAATTCCACATGTAGGCCTGTATTCCAGATGCCACCTACAGACTACTGCTACCTCTTTTCCTGGACAAGAGGAAGTCGTTAAACAAAAACAACAAATCCATCAACAATCAATGAGGCGAGGAATCTCAGTAATGTTCTAGAAAAACCACTGTCTGTCTTTGTCAATAGGTCCACGTCCCAAAGCCGGCGGTGGCCCCTCCACCGTTCATGGCAACTATCAGAAGAACTCCGTTCTGTCGGCCCAAAACTCTGCGTCCTGTGACCTGGAGCACTGCGGCGGCCACGGCGCCTGCGTCTCAGAAGGCAAACGCACCCGCTGTCGGTGTGCAGCGGGTTACAAAGGAGACTTCTGTCAGGAGCAAGACGCTAGAAAGAGCCACCCCGCTGTCATCCTGGGCTCCTTCAGCCTGGTCGCTGCAGTGGTCGTGGCCGCGTTTGTTTTAACTAAAAGGTACTTCCTCAAATGGCGAGAAAAATTAATCTAACCAAATCTTCTTTGTGGCGCAACAGCTGAGCTCACATGAAAAATGAAATTGATTTCTCCAGTGTGTTTGGAATTGATTTAGATATTTGAAAGAACTTGGTGTTTGTGCCTTGTAGAAAAAAATGTAGAATATTAAAAAGACTGTTACATTTTCTTAATATTTTTTGTTACCAGGAAAAGTTGGAAGTTCTTTGGAAGAAAATCTGCAGATAAAGAAACACTGATGGCTAACATTGGTCTGCCTGCTGGACTTGATGATTCTGACTCTGAGGTGAAACTAATCTTCTTTTTTTTCTTTCTTTTTTTCAAAATGTATAAAAGCGTTAAGTTTTTATTCTATTTAAATAGATGTACACTCTATCATTGGAAAATCCACCTCCATTAAATGTGCAGAATTCAAATATTTTCACTTGATCAGCTCTACTAATGCTTGTTTTTGACAATATATTTTAAGTGGAAAATTCTTGTTTTTCCTTCAGGAACTGGAATCCCCCATAGACGTGAGGAGTCCACTGCGAGCGTTTAAGTCTCTGCGGTTTAAGTAGACTACCCATGTAAGGCTACATGTTGTGTGTAGAATTGGTTGTATGACAGCCAGAGGACTCAAATGATCAACAGTTTTCTCTGCATTTCTACATCTTGTACTCTTTCACTGTAATAAACATATTTTGACTGGAAAAGCAGTTATTGCTTGTTTCACAGAACCTAAAATCATCTTAAAATCCAAAAGCTTGAAGCTGCTGCCAATCACTGACATTTTCTGCATACTAATTTGCATATTTTAGACCAAATTCAACCGTGGTGGAAACATCACATCTGTACAAGCAGTCAGATTCCATAGGAAGTCGGTAGCAACTATTGTTTTTACTTAAATACAGCATGAAATAATTAACCATTTGTTACAATAACAAATATTTGTCACATCCAGACTTGGAGCAGACGGTTTTCAACACGCATTAGCTGTGTCTGAACCTCCAGAGTCCATGTTTGTCTAATGACTATTTGTACGCACCTTTTTCTGTATATCCAACTAATGCCACTATGGTGATGTGTTCATCTGTAACCAACAGTTACTTGTTCAATTTAAAATAATTCAAGTGGAAAAAGTCTTTTACAGGTAAAATTCATATTTAAGATATCATTAGACTATCTTCCAGCTCTGTGTACACATCAACAGGGCTTAAAGGTAATCATGCAGACATGTACCTCATTTCAACACACCCATGATATTTCCAGGATGGGTGTGACATAAGAACATCCCATTATGGTCTGGCTTGCCTTTCAGACTTTTCTTAGCAGCACGGTATATGAATTATTTCATAGTCTGATATCCAAGCCATGTGGAAGTTACTCTGAGCTCCCCTTCTTGTAGAAAAACCTAAGCGTTTTGAAATCGCCATCAGTGCATATCGTTCCAAATTATTCATTGGTGGTTATTTGTATGCAGAACCAGGTTGCACTGTGATCCCAGAATGGTTATTCCATTCCCTTTCTTACCAACATGCTATCATCCAAAACAACCATTCGATATATTGTGACACGCTCCCGATTTAAAAAGTACCCTATGAAATGTATTTCTCAGCTGGGTCATTTGGTCAAAAAAATTAGCAAAAGTTCAATTGTTGCCTTGGAATAGAGAAGCCTGACAACAAAACTCCAGGGCACCGTGCAATGGTGCTGAAATAACCACAAGCTAATGACTGTGATTTGTGCTGACTAATTCATGTTTGGGCTGGGTAAGAAGGAACATGCAACACAACATTAACATGGTGACATATAAGGAATGCAACAATCTCCTGTAACTGGCCTTCATGAAATGGAAAAGATACAGGGGTTGGACAATGAAACCTGGTTTTGGACCACAATACTTCATTAGTATGGTGTAGGGCCTCCTTTTGCGGCCAATACAGCATCAATTGGTCTTGGGAATGACATATACAAGTCCTGCACAGTGGTCAGAGGGGTTTTAAGCCATTATTCTTGCAGGATAATGGCCAGGTCACGACGTGATGCTGGTGGAGGAAAATGTTTCCTGACTCGCTCCTCCAAAACACCCCAAAGTGGCTCAATAATATTGAGATCTGGTGACTCTGCAGGCCATGGGAGATGTTCAACTTCACTTTCATGTTCTTCAAACCAATCTTTCACCAGTCTCGCTGTGTGTATTGGTGCATTTTCATCCTGATACACGGCACTTCCTTCAGGATACAGTGTTTGAATCATTGGATGCACATGGTCCTCCAGAATGGTTCGGTAGTCCTTGGCAGTGACGTGCCCATCTAGCACAAGTATGGGGCCAAGGGAATGCCATGATATGGCAGCCCAAACCATCACTGATCCACCCCCATGCTTCACTCTGGGCATGCAACAGTCTGGGTGGTACGCTTCTTTGGGGCTTCTCCACATCGTAACTCTCCCGGATGTGGGGAAAACAGTAAAGGCGGACTCATCAGAGAACAATACATGTTTCACACTGTCCACATCCCAAGATTTGCGCTCCTTGCACCATTGAAACTGACGTTTGGCATTGGCACGAGTGACCAAAGGTTTGGCTATAGCAGCCCGGCCGTGTATATTGACCCTGTGGAGCTCCCGACGGACAGTTTTGGTAGAAACAGGAGAGCTGAGGTGCACATTTAATTCTGCCGTGATTTGGGCAGCCGTGGTTTTATAATTTTTGGATACAATCCGGGTTAGCATCCGAACATCCCTTTCAGACAGCTTCCTCTTGCGTCCACCGTTAATCCTGTTGGATGTGGTTCGTCCTTCTTGGTGGTATGCTGACATTACCCTGGATACCGTGGCACCTGATACATCACAAAGACTTGCTGTCTTGGTCACAGATGCGCCAGCAAGACGTGCACCAACAATTGGTCCTCTTTTGAACTCTGTTATGTCACCCATAATGTCGTGTGCGTTGCAATATTTTGAGCAAAAATGTGCTCTTACCCTGCTAATTAGACCTTCACAGTCTGCTCTTATTGGTTCAATGTGCAATTAATGAAGATTGGCCACCAGGCTGGTCTAATTTAGCCATGAAACCTCCCACACTAAAATGAGAAGTGTTTCAGTTTCATTGTCCAACCCCTGTATAAGGAATGCAACAATCTGCTGTAACTGGCCTTCATGAAATGGAAAAGATATAGGAATAGTGTGTGAAATGTGTACTTGGTTCAACAGTGCTATTTGAGAAGTTTGCGCCAAGTGTGATTTGAATGTTTTCCTCCGTTTTGCGTGGGAATTTGTTTGTTGCACAACCCCGGCATGAAGGCATGTCTACAGACATGTGAGTTTTGTCAGGTCTTGCCAGGTGAGTATTGCTCAGACTTGTTTGCTGCTCCTCCTCTTCCCCTGGTGAGATCACCAAACACACCTATATCGGCTTATTTCCCTGCACTAGAAAAAAGGTAAGTTGAAGCCACATTGTGCCTGTTGTTCCTCTTTGTAGCTGATGAGCCTTACGCGAATAATCAGTTTAAAACACAGCAGTTAAGGGAAGTATGGTGTTCACATGTCAGCATTGAAGAATGAGCGGTCAACTGATTGAAAGGATATTTGGTTTGGACAAGACTTTGCAAGTGACTCACCTCTCATGAAGGTAAGGCAGAGAGAGGAGGAGGGGATTCTGTGTTCCTGTATCGGGAAAGGGGGGGCGGGGGGCGGGGGGGGAGCAGCAAAAGAAAACAGGCAGCTATTCACAGGTTTCAGTTTTCCTCCTCTTTTCTCCTCCTGTTTTAAAAAGATTCCCTCTCTGAAAGAGACAATTCAGAGACCTCTTCAGAGACCCAGGACCTTTTAGCAGAACAAGAAACACCTGGAAGACCCTGCTGCAAATAACTAAAGTTTGACATCAAACATCTTTAGACCACCTGGATCCTCTTTGACAAGTCTGTGAGTATATGTTTTCTTTCTTTAGTATTTCTTTTTAGGTTAGTCTCTGTGTAGGTTGCTTTCTGAAATCAGCCTGCAGATGCATCGCGCTGTGTTGGTTGGACACCAGAAAATAAGATAATCAGACTTTTAGAGAAGTCCTTATCTCAACTTGTTGATCAGTAAACCGGTCATGCTCCATATGTCTGGATTGTGAGAAGTGCCCGCTGTCATGGCCTCTCCACCATGTTGTTTTTATTCTACGTGGAGGCATGTGATGCCATTTCAGCCTTTAGGTTGATGTCTATGGTTTGGTTTAATGCGTACATTTCTGTTAATTACTGTGCTTAGACATGGCAAAACATCAAATTAAACGAAAAGTGAATCTGAATGACGCTCTATTGTCTTTATGTGCACGCTTTTAATTTGTTTTATGCAGTAAGCAGCCTAGCATCAGGCTGCTTTGCTTTGTTTTTTGGTCATTTGAATTTGGTCATTTAAAAGTAAAATGTGTGTGAGTGCCAGCTGCCAGCACACTGCAAGTTACCCGTAGTTCTCCTATTCTGTTTTTACATAAGATATTTTCCACTGAGGGGACCTAATGGGTGTAAACATGCATTATTTCAGGAGTTGTTTAAATACATTTTCTTATTCTACATACAGTGGTGCATTATGAGGTGAAAAAAATTGGGACATCTTCTATGCTATGGTGGAAAAGTGCTGTTTTCTTAAGTTGGAAACAGAAATGGTAATGATGAATAAATCACAATAATTTTAATCTTCTTCTTTCGTAAGCCTGAGAAACAGCATGGTTTTTTAAGAGCTTCTTTCTTTGGTTGCGTAAGACAGACATGTTAGACCTGACGTGTTACATTTGTCAGAAATTAGAGGCATGTGACAGGGTCATTTTAATTAAAAAAACAAATAGACATGTCACGACCTTTAAACTAAATTATTCTCTGATCTCTTAGTTTGTGTTAGATGGATTTGAGTTCCTACAAAACTTTATACGCACTGACAAAGAAGGACTTATCTAACCCAACCTCAGGGCATGCACTTCAGCTCTTTCACTTGTCTTTGTTGTGCTTGTCTATTGTGTTTAAGGGTGTGCCTTCTCCACTAATCAATCCCCCCTCTCTTTTTCTTCTTCCCCTCCCTATTTGAAAAAAAAAGAAAGATCAAGTGCGTTTCTCCTCCCTTCCTCTCACTCTTCTCAGACGGAAGCACAACCAGGAGGCATGGACTTCAGCCTGCCCACCTGCCGGGACACTCAGTGTAACGGCCATGGCTCTTGTGTGGCTCCCCACGGTGGCGGTACCACCCTGGTCTGTGACTGCGACCTGGGCTACCGAGGGGACTCCTGCGAGGGCACGGTCAACGGCGCCCTGAGCCTGCCGCTGACCATCAGTGTGGTGGCCGTCATCATGGGGCTGCTCCTCATCGCTTTCATCGCTGCCAAGCTGCGACAGAGGCAGAAGGCTCAGAGGTAGGGAGAGCTGTTCCTGAACCCCACGGCTTTAAAGGACGATGAGAAGCACGGCCACGGTCTTTCTTAACATTCAAGTTACAGAACTTCCTTACAGCAGGGCCCACATCCATGTTGAACTTTGTGGTGGTGTGATTATCCAGTTGGCACAATATAACATGCATATCTGTTGGATAAGGATGTTTATTTTGTTTTTTTTCGACACCAGGAAACGTTTGGTTCCATCACATGACTACAACAATGATGTTTAATGTGAAAAGATCCAGTGAATATCCAAGGTAGGCAGCTGGTTGGAGGCATTCATTTTTCATTCATTTTTGTC